ATTGTGATTCTGACATTTTATACACTGTACAATTCATTGATTAAATAAGAAAATAATTGGAAAACTAATCAATAATGAATATAATTATCAGGTGCCAAATTAAGGTCGTAGTTGAAAACTGTAAACAACAACTTTCAGACAATGGAACAAGTTTCAAATAGTGACTGAAACTCTGCCCAAAGACGCTAAGTTGGCAACACTGCCTGTAAACGCCCCCTCATGATGCAATAGAAAAACTGTTCCTGCCAGTTCATTTTGAAAGAGCAATGGCCAATGGGGAAAGTCCAACACTCGGCCGGCTGATCAATGGTATAACCTGATCACTGAGTCCCACGGCATTCGGCTGACCAATTGTGTAACTTCATCAGTCAGTCACTCAGCGATATTCGTGTATGTCAGGCAGGCCTCGCTGTCGCGGTCAGAAATACATTTTTATGAAGTTAAAAGTATAAATCTGTAACACAGGTTTACATCAATTACTAGAATTAAGCAAATTTTAGTATAAAACTGGAATAAAAATTTACATTTAAATTCATGTCTAAGCCAAAATGCTCCCAAAATTAGCTGGTACCATTTTCACAACATGAGAATTCACAAATTTCTCCTGTTGAATCACTGTAAACTGAATATCTGATACTTGTGTTTGGTACACTTTACAGCTTTCTGACATTTTACAGACAAAACTGCTAATTGGTTTATCGAAAAAATGATTGTTAGTTGCAACCTTTACACCATTGCATAACTGGATAAAGTCTGAACACACAATTAGCTCATGCTGCAGTCGGCTTATACACTATTAATTTCAAGGTTTAAGGTGATACTGTTTACTTTATTAAAGCCAAATTTGTGACAAACCGAAAAAAACACTTTATACAAAAGTGAATATCACAAAATATGTATATTTTAAGCAAAACAAAATAAAGTTATTCCTTCATGATTGGTATTCATTTAATATTTCAGTGTGAGTTGTTACGTGTCTGTAAATAAAATCAGTCTGTTGACCAGTTTCTGGTGCCTCAGGGAGCAGCTGAAGGTTGAAAACTTTTGGCCTGAATTCTTGGATTCTTGGAAGCCTTCAGATCCCACCCATGTCCCTCAAATCTTCAGTCTGGAACACACACACGCACACAGGAGCCCGGGGAATTTGGGGTCATAGTCGTCTCCCCCCCACCCCTGCCTCCCCCTGTTACATAGCTGAAGGACTCTGAGCTTCAAATCATTTTTAAGTGTTTTGCAGGATCTGAAGTTGGATGTTTAGACAGTGCTACAAGCTCTTCCTCTAAACAACAGGCTGAGGCTTGGTGGTGGTGCAGGAGTGGTTTTTACTGTCACAGAGGTGTTTCTCATCAAAGTCTCGTTCAGCATGCCGTCATAAATCTCTTCAATAAAGTGAGTCAGTCAGATTGAGAGGGCTAGTGTGTGTCTCGACCTGTCCATGTGTTTCATAAACACAATGTTTTGACTGTTGCTGTTTGTTTTTCTTCTTTTTTTTATCTGTAGATAAAGAGCAGTGATGGAGGAATTTAGATATTGTAGCATCACATTGTAGCATTATACTATATTATATTATACATTACACGTAAAAGTCCTGAATTAAAAAAAAAATAGTACAGAAGTATCAGTAAAATTTAAGTATCTAAATGAATGCTCATTATGCAAAACCACTTCTTTCATAGTGTTACTGTACACTATCATGGTATATTATTCTGTTTTTTATCACTAACAAATACATGTTAGAGCATTTCGGTGTTGTAGTTTGTCAATGTGGTGCCATTTTTAGATATTTCATACACTGCCTGTTAGATTAATTAAAGTATCATAGTAGTTTCCTTTTTCTTGTTTTACTTAATAGTAAGTTGAATATCTTCGGCAGGATAATTGATTATGAAAATAATCATTAGTTGCAGCCCTAGTTCACAATTTCAAATATTTTTTTAAAAAAAAAGGCTTTTCTAAATGTTTTGTGAGGAACACGTTTGTTTATTAGACCTCAGAGACATACACAATTTGTTTATCCCACTGAAACACTGAATGTAAACATATGTTTGTTTACAGTAAGGTGACCTTTAAGCCCAGGGACAAATTACAAATCTTTGAAAACTTAAAAAAATATAAGTGATAAAGTGGGCTTTACAAAGACAAGGACTTTAAGTAGGACACCAACTAGCCAGTATTGCCACTGGAGTTTGTGCATGTCTGTCTCAGCCTACACAGAGTCTAGCCCCACCAAACACCCACTCAGCAGCAGGGACCTAGCACACATACCACTGACATCAGATCAGCCCTGTCTGAACATTTAACACAGTAAGCGAACACCTTACAGTACATCCACAATAACCCTGCATTAAGTGGTACGCCTTTGAATCTTTTAATGCAGATTTTTTGTAGATAATGTCAGAGAGGTATTGTTCCAACTTGTGCAGTTCGTTCTGTAATTAATCTCGTTTCCTTCAGTCAATGTTGTGTGTGTCTTCATGTGATCACTGTTCCTCTTCGCAAATGCATTTTTCATGTGTTTCCCTCGTGGCATCATGACTTGGAGGACAATTTCCTATGATTCACTTTTTCAGCTGTCTTTGTTACTGTGATTTAGTTGTTTCAAAGCCACTAACAGTTTTTATGTTTGTTTTATTTTGTCCAACCCTTGTAAAACCAATTAGCTTTAATGGGGGTGTAACAAAGTGACTTTTGATGCAACTTACTGAGCTAACAAAAAGGCCTGAATTGCTGCTGCATCAGTCAGAAACACTTTAAAATTATGCAATGTGTCGAAGGGAAAGCCTCAATAAATCGTGACTTGATGCGTGCCAAACACAGGAAAACTGCAATAGAAAAGAGGAACAGTGATCACAAGTATCACAAGGCCTTCACAGACGCTGACCAGAAGTCATTTAACTAAATGTTTAAAGCTGAACAGCGCTACAAGCTACAATACAACTTTAAAAATGTTCAGAAGGGGTTTGACAATGTTGCAGAGTTTTATACTTGATTACAGTGTTAGAGTTTATTTGTCTCCTCTGTGTTAGTATCTTGATTGTACTTGTGGAAGGAGCCAGATATCTCAACACTTAGATCAAAAGCTGAGTAGTGAGCCAATATGTGTTTTTTATCCTTGAGTTCTTTGATCACACACGCATCTGTGTTGCTTGTGTTACATTGTTATGTTCTTAGCCATGATGTAGTAGATTCATTATTATTATCATTATTGCTGTGATTATGTTGCTCACTTCCCTTTTTTGATGTGTCAGTATTGATAACCTGCGTGATGCTAGTGTGGCTCACTCTGGAAACAAAGAACAAGCTTTAATAGAGACAGTACAATACAGCGATACATTACTTCTGTTTTTATTGTGAGATTTATGAAGAAGTGCAGTTTTATGTTTTATTGATTGACCATAGTAATGTTTCTTGGTTGAGGACACCTCTGCTATTAACTTTAAATTCTTTGGTCACAAATTGACAGCTTTTATTTATAAACTGTGAAAAATGTGTCAACCTAATTCCAGCTTTTCAGCCATTAGATAAGCAATAAAACCTTGCACTGCCGTACCTGTATAAAGTTCATACAGTTTAAGGTTTGTAGGGTGCAGGAGAGTTCTTCTGGGTTATACTGATGTATTCTTACAGGATTCTTTCTTGCTTTTGGGTTCTTAGTTTTGTAGAGTGAATCAGTCGTGCATTAACACACCAGTTCTCATTTACAGTCTTTAGGGATGCGTTTCTTTAGATCCAGAGCTTCACCAGCTTTCCTCCAGTGACAGCTTGCTTCTTCAACTGTATGCTTCTCTATGTTTGTGTGCACATAAAGTACTCAGACACCATCTGAAAAATTCAACACACCAACCCCCCACCTCAACATACACACTCCCCAGCCCCTTTAAAAGTACAGAGGCAGTGAATGAAAGCTTTTGCCATGAAAAATTAAAACAACATCCTTCACTTACTGGGTGTATAATGGTTGACCCAGATGGGATATTACTGAGCTTTCATTCGTTACACAGCACACAGCCTTGTTTTTATTTGGGGACAGATATTTGTCCTTCTAAAGGGCTTTAGCTTAAGCCTTTGACCCTTACTCTGTATTTGTGTATTAGTGAGTGGGTGAGAGACAGATAGAAGGGACATATGTGGTCATTGCCTCTTGCATAAGATGTTTTTTTTTTCATGGGTCATTGTGCTCAGAGATTACGGGCTACAACCCCATTATGTCAATCTGCAACATCAAACTACATTTTATGAATATCTGACAGACTAAATCATCATCCTGCCAACAGCATTGTATACCAGATGAGTGCAGATGTTATACACACAATGAAATTCCTGTTATACATACTGTAATCTCATTGCCGGTTGTTTATTATTAGACATCACCTCATAACTAGTGTACACACAGCTGGGACCCTCGTCAGTGGGAGGTAGTGTCAGAGGCCAGACTTAGCAACAACAGTAAACACCACCTCCGAGTGTTTGATATGTTTTAGAAGACAAAACTGTGTTTGGGGAATTCTAATAGGAAGACTGAATTAAAAACATTTTTTAAATTCTCTTACTGTAATGGTACAACACTGTAAAAAAAAAAAAAAAAAAAAAAGGGTATATTCCCGTAGTGTCAGCACTAAGTTTGAAACAACCCATTGATACTAAAGCCACAGGCTGTAACAGCCAATCAAAAAGGGGTGTCTAATTATTTTCTTAAAAATACAAATCAAAATAGAGAAAAGAAATGTGTGCATGTGTGTTATATATATATATTTTTTTTTTATAAAGATTAGGTGGCCAATACAAATAGGTGACTTTAGTTACAAAAAAAACTTTCAAGTAAATAATCTAATGTTACACAACCTGTTACACATACGAGGTTGAGAAATTACCAAAATACCAAAAGAGAAACATTTTGTTCTCAGCTGAAAATTGCTTGGAAACAGATAACCAGTATTTCCAACAAAAACGTTCATATTATTGACAAACGTGTCTTCTTCTGTGTCTCCTCCGGTCTGCAGGTCTCTGGATGGCCGTCTGCAGGTTTCCCACAGAAAAGGTTTGCCCCACGTCATCTACTGCCGTCTGTGGCGCTGGCCCGACCTGCAGTCCCACCACGAACTGCGGGCGGTGGAGCTGTGCGAGTACGCCTTCCACACGAAGAAGGATGAAGTGTGTGTCAACCCGTACCACTACCAGAGAGTAGAGACACCAGGTATTACAAACTTGGAGCATTTTGGAGCATTTTGAAATAAAAAAGAAAAAAAACTTTTTCCAAGAACTTAAAGGATGAAGTTTTACCGTTTGTCCAAATTTATTTGACTTCATTTCACTTTGCTGTCAGGGTCATTTTCTATGGAACTATCTGCTTTTTTTGCCAAGGCACACTTTTATAGTCTTGTTTTTATCTACAGGCTCTATCCAGTTTTTTCCCTGTTATTTATTGCACATAACTGTCGTATTTTATTGTTTTATTGCATAATTTTATTGTTTTGTTATTAAGTTGTTTTGTGTTACATATTTATTTATTTTTTTCAAACAGACATAAAACCAATCACTATTGCTATCTTCTAAGGAACTACTTGTGTGTATACGTCTGTTTTTATGTCCACTATACAGTACTCCCCCCAGTGCTGGTGCCCAGACACACAGAAATCCCCAGTGAGTTCCCGCCGCTGGATGACTACAGCCATTCAATCCCTGAAAACACCAACTTCCCTGCTGGAATTGAGCCCCAGAGCAACTACATACCAGGTACCAGCTTGCCTCCTAACAGGATTCACACTAAGTCTCAGATACTCCTTTAAACACCAAGACTTGTATGAGAATCTTTTACACAAGTCCGATAATCCGAAGCATCCCAGTGCCAAGCTGTTAACATTATACATGGATCAGGCAACACATCACATTGTTGTCTTTTCTGTTCAGTCATTTAATCACTGAGAGTTCATTCCTAAGAGACAATTAGATCTTGGGGACAAGTAGTTGTTTAGACAGTTGGAACATTTGATTTTGGCTCCTATTGAATAACCTCTTCTTTATAAGGTGAGTACTGGTAACATCTGTATCTGATCTGCATCTGTATCCTACACACTGTCAAATTGTTTTCACTGAAATTCTGAGTGATTTCAGATTGTTCAACATTGTTGCTGCTGTGCAGTGTCAGAAATTCACTGATTAATACAGATTGACACAGTCATTTTTGCAGTTGTGAATGGATGAACAATTGTTATCTGACACGACTTCAGCATATTCCTCCCAACCAGGGTTAAACACAGATCAGGTGCTAACCAGCAGTGGTAGAAGAACTACTCAATACTTATTATGCAGAGTGACCCATTTCAGAATAATTGTTAAAACATAGTTAATTATATAAATACATACATATTAATACAGGTATATACGCACAACTTCAATGTTGCAGCTGGTACAGATGGGGCTGCCAGGTACTTTATTATAATAGTAAATGATCATTTATTTGTTGATCATATTTAGTATTAATAATTAAAACTGCACAGTAACTAGTAACTAAAGTTATCAAATAGTAATAGCAGTAAAAAGTACAGTATTTCCTTCTGAAATGTGGTGGAGTATAAGTATCAAGTAGCAGAAAATGTAAAATACTGAAGTAAAGCACGAGTACCTCAGAACTGTACTGAAGTCCAGCACTTGAGTAAAGGTACTTCCTTTCACCACTGCTAAGCAGGTTTTTTAATGAAATGTGGCCACATATTTAAAGAAGAGAATTTCATTTAATGTCAGAGTAGTAGACATTAGAAGTAGAGCAAGAGAAGCAGAGACAAAAAGAACAAGCAGGTGTGCAAGAGAGAAAAACTACATTGAAATTTTGCTGTATATATGTAAATTTTATGTAATGTAATTCTTTTAGATTCACCAGTGTTTATTCTTTTCTTTTTTTGCCTTACTGTGTTGTGTTCCTACCAGAGCTATCTTAGGGAAGCTTGCCACAAACCTAATGAGATTTTGTCTGTGTGTGTGTGTGTGTGTGTGTGTGTGTGTGTGTGTGTGTGTGTGTGTGTGTGTGTGTGTGTGTGTGTGTGTGTGTGTGTGTGTGTGTTTGTGTGTGTGTCTCTTTGTGTTGGCTCTGCTTTTGTGCGTCTCAGAAACGCCACCACCAGGCTACCTCAGTGAGGATGGAGAGACCAGCGATCACCAGATGACCCACAGCATGGACACAAGCTCCCCAAACCTGTCACCCAACCCCGTTTCACCCACACACAGCAACCTAGGTAAGGACTGTGTCTGAGTGTGCAAGTGTGTGTTTGTGTACTTTTCTGTCTGTCTGTGTTCACACACAGACAAATGATTCAATAGTGTATCTCCCCAGTGGGAATTCTCTGTTTGATTTAACTCCATTTTTGTAAGAGGAAACCAGGTGATGAAAGAAGCCTTTGTCTTCCCTGCACCATGTGAGTTGCTGAACGGGCCAAGACACCATCCAGCCGACACTAACATCAATGACAATATCCTACGTTTATTCTATCAGGATGGAAAGACGCCAGGGGGCTTGGCTGGAAAGCAACTGGTGAAATAACAAAATCACACCAGTTTCGTTTGGCAGTGCCGTCCAGCTCTGTTCTGGACTTCAAAGCCAAGGACAAAATGTTGAAGTTGTTGAGAGTGGTCATGTTGAGGGGAAAAAGAGCAAATTACCAGAACCAGTTGAAGTTACTGAAAACTATCGTGGATAAGCCTGTAATTTGACCATTCTGGCTCCAGTGTCCCATCAGTGAGGCCTGAGTTTCCACATTTTGTCTGGTAAAAGCTTCTGGGAAACGGCGTATGGGTTTGACATTTTGTGACGCAAGCTCAGCCTAATGTTTTCTTTGGTGGTGTTTTTCTTCCCCCTTTACATCCAGCTCAGCCCCTTTTCTCCCCACATTTTACCCATTTTGCCTCTTCATTGTTGCTCTTCATTTCCATTTTCTCTCCCATTTATTCTGCTGCTGGCCGTTATTTCTCTGATTTGCTCTCGCCTCTGGTACCTGTTTGTTTCCTTCCTCCTATATCATTTCAAGCATTACATTTCTTGATCTGCACATTTCAGTGTATTCACAGCCACCCTGTATTATACTCAGTTCTCTTGTGTCTACTTTGTCTCTTACCTTTCATTTTGGTTTGATGAAAACAAACTGCATCTTTCTCTGTCTCCCTGTGTCAGATCTTCAGCCAGTGACATACTGTGAGCCGGCCTTCTGGTGCTCCATTTCATACTATGAGCTGAACCAGCGAGTAGGAGAGACCTTCCACGCCTCGCAGCCCTCACTGACAGTGGACGGCTTCACGGACCCCTCCAACTCAGAGCGTTTTTGCCTGGGCCTGTTGTCCAACGTCAACCGCAATGCATCTGTTGAGTTAACACGCAGACATATCGGTAGGGCTCCAATCAAATAATAATCATTCATCATCATGTAGTGCTCCTTTCCTTCTTGTGCCAATGCTAAAGAAGACATTGCATGTGTAATAACTGCTCATGTCTTCATGACATGAGCTTGATCTGAGGAGTTTGTTGTGTTTTTGTTTTCTTGAAGGCCGTGGTGTGCGGCTGTATTACATCGGAGGAGAGGTTTTTGCCGAGTGTCTCAGCGACAGCGCCATCTTTGTCCAGAGCCCTAACTGTAACCAACGCTATGGCTGGCACCCCGCCACAGTCTGCAAGATCCCTCCAGGTGTGTGTCAAGCTGACAGAGACAGAGAGGGAGAAAGTTAGGGACTGAGAGCGAGACAAATGGGGAGAGAGGAGAGAACAGAGACCGACACAAATGGCAAGAAGTAGAGAGACGAGCGGTTTGGAGGTTGGTGGAAGAAAAAAAATCGAAAGGTAAAACTGGAAAGGGAGAGTAGCTGTGGTCCAGGAGGAGGAGAAGGTGGTCTAATCACAAGGTTGGCGGTTTGATCCTCAGCTACTTCTGTGTCGGTTAATGATGAAGTGGTATATAAATGTTGAGGCCAACACATACAAAAACAAATTAGTTTTGCAGATGCCTATATTTACCTTTTCCTTATGTGTTCATAAAAAATGTCCAGTTTTAAGTTGTGTTGTTCCCAACTTTCACAGCTGGGTGTAGTCTCTGGTGAGGGAAAAATAAAAATCTGGAGACAACTAGTTGAAACTGCAGTAGTAGTGATGACTTTCTGCTGCCAAAATCCTCCCGTTTGAGCACTTCCAATGTCTGTGGCAAAACTGACAACATTACAGGACCTTTTTACCGAGCCAAGCTGTGATTCATCTAAGTTAAGTTAATTTAAAATGGATGATTGAGAAAAGATTTACTGTGGCTGTATCATCGCAACAGTGAACAACAGAGGCCACATCTAGACCATCACTTACCCTCATCACCAGGGATGTCCTCTTTAGCTATAGTGTAGTCTGGTTAAAAAAAAAGTTTTTCCTGTTCGCTGGAGTCTGTGTAATTTTACCACATGATTTATAAAATTGTTACAAGTTTTTTCCTGAACACAGCACATCTATAAGTCTTAATGGAGGTTAGTTGTCAAAGGCAAAATGTTAACACGTGAAATTTCAGACACGCACCTCTTTACATGAATGTGAATGTGCTTTTACATGTCGGTTCCATGTCTGGATAAGTGCCCGAGTCACTTTTACATAAAACTCTCTGCAATCTTATCAGATTAGTAAGTCTGAACTGAATGCCCTCAAGTTTACTTAAGACTTCATAAGGTTTGATTCACACAGAAGTTAAATTCATTAACATCTTGTTTGCCTGATTAAGATCACTGTATTAACTACTTTATTAATACACTACTTTATATAAAAATGTAAAGTAGTAGTTAAGCTTAAGTAGTAGTTAAGCTTAAGCTTTGGTTTCTAATGCATCTGTCCTGGTTTGTTGTTTCCTCCAGGATGTAACCTGAAGATATTCAACAACCAAGAGTTTGCGGCCCTGCTGGCCCAGTCAGTCAACCAGGGGTTTGAGGCTGTGTACCAACTCACCAGAATGTGCACCATCCGCATGAGCTTTGTCAAGGGCTGGGGAGCAGAGTACAGGTAAGCTGCAGTGACAGATCCGCTTTGGGTTAATGACAACCACTCACTCATTTCCATAACGGTAAACCTCAACCGCTACAGAGCTGAACTGCTTAACAGAAGATAAAACCTGCAACCAACTTGTCAGCAACATTGTGATTGCTGCTGTGCAAAGATCAAGTCCTTAGCAAGCCCATATGTAAACACAGACAATAGAAACAAACAGACTGTGAATCATATCCCATATTCCGACAGCCCCCGCTCCCCAGGCATCTGCTCACACTCTGGTGAATCCGGTGTGTGACGCTGCCGAGCCCTCATCAATAGAAACAGGCACCAGTTGGCACGCCAGACTATTTTTAAATAAACACACATGTACTGTGTCAAAAAGGAGATGTCAGACTTTCCCTCTTCCGTCCCCTCCCTGTTTTCCACACAGTCTGACTCACTGATAGTAAGAAAGGAGGACACGGAATAAAGGGGAGCAGATGATTGGATGAAAGTTGGCTCTGCACAGGAGGTTTCCACAGTGAGGAAACCTTTGTGTTGTGAGTGACTGCTCACCAGTCCTGCCCAGACCAAATGCTGACATGTAGATGCACTTAAAAACAGGTTACTGGACCAGCCAAGCCCTGCTTCTTCTCTACCTCCGCCCACACCTCATTCTCTCTGTCTTTTTCCTTGCTGACTGCTGATTGTTTTTATACCTCTGTGTCAGCAACAGCTGTGGTCGGAGGCATTATGTTTTCAGGTTGTGCCTCCATCCCTCTGTCCCGTTCACATGAACACAGTATCTCAGTAACACTTTGTGGAAATTTCTTTTAGTTATTTGGATGCTCAAGGATGAACTGATTTTGGTCACTGTGACCTCACAAAACATGTTTTTAGCCATAAAGCAAGACAACACAACTGTTTACAGAGGCATACAACTGCAATGCAGTAATTCTGGTTTAATGATGATGGTTTCATTTTTCTGGTTTTATAAAAGCAGACAAATGTAAAGATGAACAAAAAATCTTGAAAACACTATAATTGTTGCACCTAATGTATTCTGAAAAACAATATGTTATGAAACAAGCCATATAAACCATGGGGGAAATCATGCTGCTGGCAAGTGTCTCTGTTCATCTGGCTGCCAATGCAGAAATTAGATGTTTTACAACATACAGGATACATTTTACCTTCTGTTGTTGTTGGCTCTGACATGGCACTGACTAGTTGTTTTATTTAGCTCATTCCTTCTGCCTCAGAACAAATGAAATGTTCAGTTTCACAAACGTCCTTCTTTTCCCTTAAAGCTGCTGCTGCGTGCTGTTCACAAAACTCTGGTGTCAAACATGATTCGCCCGAAAGAAAACACAAAGGAGTAAAAGCGCGGAGACAAAAATGACAGGGTTATCACTGGGTGAAGCCACTGAAACCAGAATGTCTTTAGAAATCTGACCTTTCTTTTTTTTAAGAGTTGTCTCCTAACTCCACTTACACGCATACATCATATTACTTTGAACCCCCTCTCCTCTCCTCTGTGGGAAAATCAGTAAGAGGTTTTTGTATAAAGTCTGTAGGGAATCAATGAAGAGCCAAAGGATACAGATATCAAAAGGCTGAATGTCTGGAAAAGATTTTTTTTTTTTTATACAGTTTCTTCTAAAGTTTTTCTTTTTCAAAAATCAAGAACAAAAGAAATAAATTAAAACTGAAAACCATGTGCAAGAGCATGCAAGTGGAGCATCACATCCAAAGGTTTTCTCAAAGGTTCAAAGACAAAAGTAACAAATGTTTATGAGACAAAACATCTTATTCTCTGCTGCAGTATGATACCTATAAAAGCACTACTTGAACTCTAGAAGGACATAGAGTTTTGGCAAGTTTTGGCTCTTGTCATCAGATTGATTCGGATTCCGTTAAACTCATCACCATTTAGAGGAGGTGTTGATAAGATGGACCCGTATAAAATAAAATGATTACAGACATGGAATATAGATTAGATTTTAGTTTTCCAATCCCCAGTGAAAAAATGACAGGAGAATAGACAAGAGAGTGGTTGGTTTTTCAGTTCACTTCACACACTAGGATAATTTGACCTTTTTTCAAGTGTAACTCAGAAATCTGTATCATCCAGTATTTTGTGCATTATTGTTTTGTATTCAGCCCCTCGCATTGCAGCTAAAATGAAAGAGTAGTTTGATGTGACTTTGACTGAAACTTGACTTGTAAGTTTACTCACCCTGGTCCTGTCCTCTGCGCAGCTCTCTCTGTGTCCTTAATATCTGTTTCCCTTTCTGTCTCTCCCAGGAGACAGACGGTGACCAGCACCCCCTGCTGGATCGAGCTTCACCTGAATGGCCCCCTGCAGTGGCTGGACAAGGTGCTCACACAAATGGGCTCCCCCAGCATCCGCTGCTCCAGCGTCTCTTAGGGAAGCCCTTCAACCACATACGTCCTGTACACCACGTCTCCTGTCAGTGACTAAAAACACACAGACTTCATGCTTCCCCCCCCCCCATTCAGCCAATCCTCAATCTGTAATTTAGTCCTCCCTCCCCACCAGCTGACAGTAGCACTTTTTATATACATATTGTTTGTGGCAAAAGGGGACAAGTGCATTAAAGCAGTACCATGTTAGTATAATCTCCACATTTTGTCCAGAATTATTTTGATGGCAGTTTTTTTCTTAGGCGTCTATGTGCCAGAAAGACAGTAGAAATGGGAGGAGAGTTGTTTTTTTTTTTTGTTTTTTTTATTAAGAGATACTTATTCTCTTTGCGCTTTTGTTGAAATTTCATCTTCACGATTTTTACATTTTTTTGTACAGATGTTAAAGTGAACCATGGATTTAAAAATGAATTTAATTTTTTAAGCATTAATACCAATTTTGTAAAGCATATGTAAGATCATGTTAAATGCATTTCACTTGACTTTGTTTTTGTATTTGGGCATTTGATAGGTTATGAAGACATTGGAATAATGGAAATGGTCAACCACAGTGTAAACACTGTGTGAAGGAATATACTGTAGCCTAGTACAAATATTTGCTTAGGTTTTCATACTGTCATTTTATGCGCTCTGTGTTACTCTAATAAGGCAAATAACAGGATGTTTAACTACACCTTTAAGGAACAAAAGACAAAGCAAGGAATCTGTCAAACTTCAGATTCAACTTTTCCCCCTCTAATAGTAAACCATTCACTGATTTCAACCGGGAGCCAAATTCAAAGCCAACAAAGTCTGACAAAGCGGTCTGATGTTTCAGGATACGTTAGAGCAGACGGGAGTTACAACCCTTATGTGAGAGCTGAAAGACAGCGATATTCATCAAATGTCATCAGGAAGATGATGCACTTTTGTAAAATGTTGATATTCTATAAAGAGATGTGGACAAAATTATATTCGATGACAGTTGTAGTCCATAGCTTCAATAGTGCTTGTCAGGGGCCTATGTGAAATATAGCCTGCATTCATTTCAGGAAGCTTTGCCAATTTGCAAAATATGTTTGCAGCATTGTATAGTAGGAAGTACATAACAGGCATTTACACAGAACTTGAAGACATCTCACATACTGTACTGTTCTGCAAACTTTCAGTTAAATTACACATTGAACATGCAAAATGTAGTGTAGGAATGTAGGAATACTTGTGTATGTGATAGGAATACTCTGCAGAAAGAGAGCAGGAAGACGCCTTTGCTTTTTTTAATTTTCTCTCTCAGCAGTCCATGACATTGGTCTTATTTTAAACCATCAGTAATATTGACTTTTTGCACACTCAGGACCGTCAAAGAAAAACAGCTGAATTGTGTACAGAAACCAGTGAAAATGAGAGATTCATGACTCTCGAGGCTTTAAAGTCTATTTTGCTACCAATTATTTTTGTAGGACAATAAGGTCCTCTTTCAAGTGTTTTTGCATGACATGACAGAATATACTGCTGGCAGGTCTGGGGATATGAACCTTGTATTTTTCTACCTGTGAAGATGAGGCGGTTTCAGAACAAAGCACAGCTTTTTACAAAGGGAAATGTTTAGATAGAGGCATGTAAATAACTGTAGAACCTCATAATCTGATGTCCCTATTTTTTAAGTCTATGTACATGTAGTACATACATGTGTTATTATATGACCATTAACCTTTATAATGTTGAGGGTTTTGGAAGCAGGAGAACAAAATTTAAGTTTAAAATGCAAAAAAAAAAAAAAAAGTATAAGTTGGAAAAAGGTATTGGTGAAATAGAAAGGCATAGTCTTAGCGTTGGTCCCAGTTCCTTTCAGCCACCCACTGTGGTGGAAGTGGATTGATTTCCTTCTGGTTCCATAACACTAGACAAAGACACAGTGGGTGAACATGGACAATATTTTGATTCTTTTTACAATACTTATTTACATTAACGCAGCCTTTGATGTTAATGTCAGCCCGGTGGTGCTAATCTTTAACATTTGAGGGACTCAAGAGAACAGCAAAGCCATGAGATTTTACTTTTACTTAAAGTTGGTAGATTTTGATCTCTGTTAAATGATAATGACTTGTGAACGTTCTAACTATAATGGGATTGTTTCAGAAACAGTAGCATCTACCAATCTGAGACAAGACAGCTCTTTGTAGAGCTTCTAGTGTCCTTGAACACAGCAGTCCTGATCCTAATGGGCTCTTAAACCCCATAGTCAATGTAATTACCCAGTAGGGAATATTTTGCAAGCAAATTTGTCATTTTTATACACTCTTCAACTTATAGTGCTTGTGTTTTTTTTTTTTTTTCCCCTTGTTCAAAATTTTCACTGTAATCGTCATTATTAGTTGTGATTTATGCTATTGTGCTCTGAATTGGTCTTTTTAGGTGTCCTGTAAAAAATTATACCCTTTTATTTTTCTCTGCCTATAAAAGGTTGATGTGATGCTTTATATTTTTGTTTATTATTGTTGGTCTATGAATAAAATATATATCTTGTGGTGATACCGGGGTCAGCATGCCAAGTAAGAAGGGAACTGAAGCTGGGTTGTACGGATCTTAAATGTCAGACCACATCTTTATTTCAGTAACTGTCAAAGTTAGTTTTGTATTCAGTCAGATTCACTTTGTTGTGGAATAATTCAACATTAAAAATGTCAGTTACTGAGCTAACTAAATTTTATAACAAGTTCCGTTAGCATGAAATGTACTTTATACAGGCCTCTCTGGAGACAGTTCAGGTTCTAGAGTCCTCTTGTCTGTTTCCTTCTGTAGTTTGGGGATTTCCTAGTCTGTGGTAAATAATTTGGCGCTCTCCTCAGAAGCAGACAGAAACCATAATTACAGACCCAAAGCAGACACTCTCTTGTTTCTTCACTTACTGCTATGTTGAAAGCTAATGCAAACCAAAGCCGCTTCTGCTGTCACAGAGGCACGGCATGGCTTTGAATATGAATGCACGCTTTGTTCTGATGCCCATAAGGTAAAGAGGACTGAGCAACCTGCGAGGCACTTCAAAAACCACTTCACTGTGGTGACAAATAGTTTAGGTGCATGAGAAAATCTATTGTTGAAGTGAGAAGATGCCAGGACCAAAGCCAAATGGTGTTCGATTCTGCTGGTTCACTCGTTAAAATGTCTGCAGTCTGGATGCATTCAAAAGCAGTCAGTGCAGAAGCAAAGCTGTCCATTGTGATTTTTCTTTTCTACTGTATGAGATGCTGTAGCTGTAGGCCTGAGTGCCTCCGTTGTGTAATGGCATCAAAAGCTAAAGCAAGAACTTGTGCACAGTCAGCTTTACATTACCACAGTGTGCGTCTCCTGTTTGTTCCGGCTGCCTGAGCTTCATTCCAGACTACATAAGCATTTAATAATTAACTCCGTAGTTTGCTGGAGAGTCAAACACAGGGCCATTATGAATCATTGATTGAGAATGTATGTGCGCACATGTGCATACGTATAATCTGGAGCTGCTGTAGATTTGATAGGAGGAAGATTACAGTATTCTCTGCCAAATAAAAACATAATACAAAACATATGAGCACTGGAGCTGCAACTAACAATTATCAATATGACAATTTTTTCAATGAATTGTTTAATTGTTTAGTCTCTGCAACACAAACACATTGTCAGAAAATTTGGCTGAGCTGAAGATGACATCTTCAAATGACTTATTTTGTTTGATGAACAAAACAGCAAAAAATTTGCATTTTCTTCATTATTTTTGCTTGAAAAACGATGAATCCAACATCAAAACAGTTGCAGATTATTGTTCTGTCGATCAATTAATTGATTAATCAACTAATAATTGACAACTAATCCACAATTAATTGATTAATCAGTTAATAATTAGCTCTAATGAGTGCTATTAGGCAGTTTATGACTTGTACTACATATAGTAGGTGTATATACTCTAAATTAACGGTATACAGTATGGTGGTTATAGAAGGCATCTTTAAACATCTCATCTTGAAACATACATTTAAATGTACTTTCAGTGGAAAGTCAAGATATTCTAAACATTGGCTCAAGTGTAAGCTTAAATATTAAGATATTAAAACTACATGCCCTCAAAACTGAACTGGATTAGTTCTGTTCTGTACAGTAAATGATGTTTACAGTCATACAGTAGATGATACCAGATCGTAGACAGTGCTTCTTTGACAGTGGCACTGAAAATCATTTATAAACCATGATTTAATCCATTTAGAAAAGATCCACACAGAGGCTAAGGTATAGAGCGAAGAGTTGAAGGGTGGAGCATGTGTTCAGGTTAAATATATAATCTATAGTCTATATATATATATATATCATTTTAACTTTTTTTCCCACTGTGTTTATAGCAGCAGGCTTCTTAATGATCTTTTTTTAGCTGAACACTGCCATCTGCTGGCTACAAGGATTGTACAGCGTGAGCTCTGTAAACACAAGGAACCACAGTTGCATGTTGTAATGGCTCCGAACTCTTAGTCATTTATTTTTTAGTATTTTGTGCAAGAGGTGACAGGATGTCTGACCGGACACGAACAAGGATCGGTGCGACCACATGGTCAGTTGGTCTTAGACCCTTAGACCAACAGAGTGGTAGACTCTCAAGGCTCTTACTTGTATCACCTATATGTGACGTTTTTCAGCTTTAGACAGAGATTCAGTTGTACTGAACAGCTCAATGAAGAGGTGTCTTCCTATTTGTACATACAGTCTGTGCAGCACGTTCATGTGTGGTGACAAGTTGACAGAAGTAGGATAGCTAATAAATATCCAGATTGAGCTGTATATAAAGATCAGTCATAACTTAGACAGAGCATGTCTTCTTGCGGGTTTTGGTGTATTGTCTGGTAAAAACTGAGCAAGACACGTTCCAGTTAAATATCAAAGCTAAATGGCTTGTAAGGCAGAGCAAAGCAAGGTAAGTTTATTTGAAATGCATTCAAACGCTGACGACAGAAGGTGCATTGCATAAGCCAAAATAAAGACATCTGCCCCGAAACAATGCATACCACATAATGGGACAACATAAATGATAATATAAACAATACAACATAATAATAATAAATATTAATACATACTAGTCGGGTGCAGATTCAATGACTGCACAAATATTGAACTCATTTTGCCATGTGGAGATTATTAAACACAATAGGTTCATACATTTCTGCAACAATAGAGAGCGTCTCCTGCATTTATCACTCCAACACTTAAATTATTGGAAGAATTACCATCGCAAGCCGGTTAGCATGGGCCTGTTTGAGCCAACATGATTACAGCTAATAGTGATGAAATGAACATGACTGTTTGCAGTGGAATGAAAGGGCTCCATGCATCAACAGACACAGCAGAAACATGGTTCATATTGTCTGTTAAATGGATATGACTTAGTGTTGACAAGTGAGCACAAAGATGAACAGATGAGAGCCGTCAGCTTCGCCTCCATGTGAAGGTCACTCTGAAACAGTTGTTGGCAGCGAGAACATTTGTTGGTAAACAAATCCATCTTTGCAAAGGTCACCATTTGTTTCATGGCATTCTCTCTCACTCTGCCTCTCCTTATCTCTTTATCTCTTCGTTTCTCTCTCTCTCTCTCTCTCTCTTTGTCACATCTCCTCTCTCTCCCTGCTCTTTCCTGCTCTCTGTTTACTTCTCTGGCTGGAGTTAATTTCATGAAGAAAGCCTGTCATTGGTTTGTTGCAGCTCCGTCTACCAGGCAGAGAAAAATGAAGACTGCAGCATTATCAGCCTTCAGTAGCCACCAACCTTTTGCACCGCCACGGGTGGAAACGTTACAGCTGTCTCTGGACAGCAGCAGGTACCCGGCCCTGCATGCCAAACCAAGATGGGCACCCACTTCTCCGACTGGCTGCCGTTGGCCGTGTGCCTGCATGTCACCCGCTCACATACATACACAGACACGCATGCACACGCACACAGCAGCAGCCACTGTGCAAGCCAACGCTCGTCCCCTCCTGTCAGCTGTACCACCCGTGCAGGAGAGGAAACTGTCACTATGTCTCAACTGAGAGGACATTTTGTTCAGACAACATTCATAAGCACCTGGCAAACACTTATGTTCAGTGCAAAAAAACAAGCATATAAAATGTATAAGAGAAAGCTGGTTGTAGGAGAATGTTTGGTGTAGCAGGGAACACGCAAAAGAGTTTCATTTTACCCCTCAAAGCAATTTTCTGTTCTTGGTGAGTTTTTTTCCTCTCAATATGTTCTCCGTTTGTCTGCGTACCAAATGAAAGCATCCTGGCTCAACCTATCTAACTTAAATGTGTATATATATATATATATATATATACGTATATATGGCAGGTTCCATTGTTGGATCCTGATAATAATAAAGATCAAAGCAAGAACAGGTCAATATTAAACCCCAAAGAACGGGGAAAAAGTACAATCGTAGGAGCAATGGAGAGAGTGAGAGAGGAAAGAGGTGGGAAAAAGAGGCAGTGAGGGAAACATATTTACTGACATCCATGGGCTGTCACCACTCTGATTAATGGTGGTTGGAATCCCTGCCTGGTGAAAAGGTGTTGTTGGGGTGTAGAGAAAGCCCAGGCGTTGACCCAGAACTAATAGCATTCGACTTGAACAAGCTGTCCAACCTGAGAGAGTGGGCTCTGCTGCACCCGGCTGGAAAAAAGTAGGAAATAAGAAAAGTTAGAGATGGGAAACAGGGTAGGTGTGTGGGTTCACATCGCAACCTTTGGACTTTGAGCACCTGGCCTGACTCCACGCTGTGTTCAAAATCACTTTGTCCACTCATTAACTATTCTCCACATGATACACGTGTAATAGTTTACGCACATGGTGAGCAGTAACTTTCAGATACTTACGAATCTATCATTTTGCGCCATCATTGACAGGTGCGGTGTAACTGACACATCCTTTAAACGTGCATCACTGTGGGACTCAAGGCCAATGAGGACTCTTGGAATTTGGGGGTTTAAACAACCTGAGGAGTTTACAGTTCACATTTACACACACATGTGTTTGGTAAAAAGGATTTACTGTGACTTTCTTTGCAGTGGGTAGTCATCACAAACAGGACTCTTGAGTCATGACCTCAGTATCTCTAGCTCTGGCCCTGGGGGGGACCTTTAGCAGAAAGAAGTAAGTACTGCTTTTAAGGCTGATTCTGATAAAGTCAATAGTCTTAAATGTAAACAAGACGAAGAGTCTACAGCCACGCTAACGGCTCTATGAGGCTGCCAGCGATAATGCAAACACGCTGATGTTTAGCAGGTGTAATGTTTATCATGTTCACCTGTTAGCTAAGCACTAAACAGAGCATACAGCCTGATCTTTAATATGTTTAATTTTGCAGGAAATTGATGAAAAGTACTGGAGAAGTTACATTTTTGACCTGATGATGTGAAGCTTGATGAGAATTCAGGATTATCTGTATAGCCCAAAAATATCACACAACTATTGTACAATGTTTCATTTGGTATTAAAGGGCCACCACGGGCCCCTGACCCAGTTCAAGCTCCAGGAAAAAATAGGAAAAACTCAAAGAAGAAAGAAAGAAAGAAAGAAAAGTTCAAAGACGGATTCCCCTCTTCAGAGTTTTCATGTTGAGCTGCATGTTGATATTCTTACTGTGAAAACTCTGTTTTTTCATGCACACAGGTCAACTCACATTGAAAAACACAATATACTCACCAATAGCTCCTGCTCATGTTTCCCTATAAAACATCACAAAAAAAAAAAAGGTCTTGCTTCAAATAATATGCAGCGTATTTGCCAGGAGCATCATCCTGCCGAGGTTGTTTTTGCTAAGGGCAACAGCAAGCCCAACAGCTGGGACATAATGAAGCTTTGAGGCACTTGTTCTCCCATCATGTTGTGCCAGCCCCTGTTTCTTCCACCAGATGTTCCATGTTTTCCCTCCAAAAAGGCCCTGCTGCCAAAATGGGGACAATCGCTAGCAAAGCGGGAACCAGCTAGCTCCACAGTCGATTCATGATTATAGGGTGATAGTTGGGTTAATTGCTTGTTTCGTGTTTATTGGACGAGGCCCTGTCACTTGGTTGTCATCTTTTATGTAGCTGAGAAAATCAGTTTGACAGTAACTAGAGCTGCTGTTGCCAGTCTCGCTGCACTGGAGTCAGGTGGGAGTAGATGAAGATGATGTTATTGATTGTTTTTTAAAGATCAGTATAGCTGTTATTGTGAATAATCATCTTGTTTGAGATGACATGAAGACGTGTCATCATGTGTCCTCAAAGAAGCACGTCAGCTGGCACAGGTCAAATACTAATTCATGCAGGATGTTAGCTGATGCAGAATACCAGAGACCAGAGTGGAAGATTTAACAGTCTCTCTTCGGGAAAACAGCTGTTATAAATCAGTGCTGCTGAAGCTCAATTGGTTTTGTTCTTTTGTTAAAGTCTCTGTGTATGATTTTTAAAACTGAAAACCAAATAGAGAATGGGTTATTTGATTCATTATAAAAAATAACAAAGTGTTTTCATGTAATATTATTTTTTTCATAATATTTTTCTTATGTTATCTTATATGCTATTTTATATGTTGTCATGTATGATGTGTCCTTGCTTTTTGTTTTGAAGCACATTGAGTTTACGCCTGCCGTATGAAATGTGCTGTTTAAATAAAACTGGATTGACTTGACTTGACGTCACAGCCATGTAAGAACTACAGCTCCCAGCAGCGTCTGGTTCCGCGCAGACTCAGTAGCAGCCTGAATGGTGTCTTGTCTCCGTTTGTGTTGACAAGTTTTATTTCTAATTTTTTCCTGTTGTTTCGTCTCCTCTTTTGTATTTTCACTTCAGATACAACCAAGAGACGGTGCTTATCGGTGAGTTTATAACTTTTTACATCGTTTAACATCCTCAGTTAACCGAGTTAACTTTATTTCGGTTTATGATTGATGGTGAGGTGGAGGTGGAGGTGGTGGTGGTGGTGGGGTTGAGTGTTGATAGCCGACCACATCAGCTGTTTTTGTGTTATTTCTGAATGTCGGCTGATCAACAATCACATACAATGATTGGCGTGACCTCATGGTGAAGTGCAGCCAGTGCAGCGGTGTAGTGACGTCATCCAACAAGTGACTGAAAGTTTTTTATATGGTGAACAGATCCGTCAAAGCCCAGTTTGTAAAGTTACTGGTTATTTGTTGCATCTGCATATATTTATGTTCTGTTTGTAAATTAATTTTACTGCTTCAGAAATATCAATTGTCATATATAACATACTATTTAAATGTTAATGCAACACTATGTATTATGCTGAAGTTGTTTAGTTGCTGAAGGTGACAAAGCTCTGAAGGTCCTGCCAACTCTCCTTCCCCCATCAGCAAGACGAAGGAAAAGTCTTCAGACCCACCACCGAGGAGTCCCACAGGTCATTTATTGATATGCAGCCTGTAAGTTTTGTTTTAGTTTTTCTATTTCAGTTAGGGTGGGCGTGTGTACTGCGTGATAAGTTTGACAGCTATGAAGGTAAATTAGGGCCAGAATGTCTAAAAGCAAAAAAAACAACCAACTGTGAATGTCAAACGAAGCTTATAAATGATCAAATTTAAATGTTAAACCATGCCCATCACATTTTCCCAGACCCCCAGGTGACATCTTCAGATGTCTTTCTATCTGATCAACACTCTAAAATATTCAGTTTTCAGTGATGTAGAACAGAGAGAAACAGATAATCCTCAAATTGGAAGAACAGGAACAAGCACATTTTTGCAATTTTGCACAAGAAATGATTCAAGCGATTAATTGTTTATCAAAATACTTGCTGATTAATTTTCTGTTGATCAACTAGTTGACAAATCTACTGCTTGTTCCAGCTCTGGCTAAATATTTCCCTCTCTAAAATTGAGCTTTAACCTTTTATTAAACTTTTATTTATATAGCACCATTCAGACACAAGGTACAGAAATACATTAAAAATATCACATTAAGAAGCTATTAAAATTTCATTTAAAAAACATGGCAGTCATAGAAAGTAAAGCTGCTTCTTGGTTATGATTCTGGGAACACTGAGTACACCTGTCCCAGATGACCTGAGGGGTCTGGGTGCTTCATAACATACAAGTAAATCAGAGAATTTTTCTTTATAGACAAGCAGTAGGATTTTACTGTAAAATCTGTCCTTCTACGCAATGCAGTGATTTAAGGATGTGCTCTGAACAAGGACGAGCATGTAGATGTTGAATAGAAGAGGCCCGAGATGGACCAACAAAGAACTGTAGCTTGTTTATATATATGCTAAATACAGTAAAACATTACACAAACTTTTTCTAAGCCAGCAATCCCTAGATAAACTGATTATGACAGTTACTAATTTTCTGACTTATCGATCTAGTCTATAAAATGTCAGTTAGATATAAGATATGAGGAAATAAGAAGAGATATCCATTACAACTCACCAAGGTGATGTCTAGTGCCAATTGCCCAAAACAAGGAACACATTTGAGAAGTGTCAAGTGTCTTTCTAAATGATTTAAAATATAAATCAGTTATCAAAGTATTTTTGTTGTTGTTGTTGTTTTAATGCTAGTTTGATTGAATAATTGATTAGTCAACCAGTCACTTCAGCACTACAGTGAACTTTCTCTAAATTAATACAAAGCCAACAGTTTTTAACTCAAAACTGTCATCTGTTTGGAAATGCTGATTACTTTTTAATTAGGGTTGACTCCTTCTGTGTGTGTGTGTGTGTGTGTGTGTGTGTGTGTGTGTGTGTGTGTGTGTGTGTGTGTGTGTGTGTGTGTGTTTGTGTGTGAGAGAGAGAGAGAGTGTGTGTGTGTGTGTGTGTCTGTGTGTGTCTGTGTGTGTCTGTGTGTGTGTGTGTTGTTGTGATGCATTTTCTGTTAATTACACCATCTAATCAACCCCTTGCCAGTGAAATCATGTTGCAGGCTAACTGAATTAATTGAGACTAGATGTTTTTATATATGTAATTAATTTAAATCATGTAAGTTATGCTTCGCTCAGTTGCTGTTAAACTGAAAAGGGACGTAGTTAAACCTTGTTTTCTTTTTGGGCAAATGAAGAAATCTCTATGGGCTATCCTGTCACTGATCAATGCACATTTAGATGTTTAACATCTGGCAAGCCGCTGGAAATTGGCTTCTATGGCAACATTGCGTTGCCATCATCCTCCCATCATTAGCTTTCACCATTGCCCCGGGGTTCATAATGTCGTTAGCTTACATAGAGATGCAGTAAAGCGATGTTACATGACGTTTCTCAACTCCTTTTATTGAAGTAGCCTGCCATGCAGCCTGCTTGTTCTATTCCATGGACACCACAGGGAAATAAGACATGATGAGAGCAGAGGCTTGATGACATGAGGTTTAAAATTTCTTGCGTCAAACATCATTTAATTTGGGGATTATTGGCAAATAAAAACCATCACAAAAGCTAGGAAGTACTGCCTTCTAGTCTTAGTGCAATTTTACGTGCAAAAATGGGCCAGTTGGCCTACACAAGGTTTTATACATTTTCAGTTTCTATTTTGCAGCCAGGTCTCAATTTAGCTGTATTTTCTGCTCACATCTGTGTGTAGCTCTGAAGGTTTAACATAGAATCTCAAAGTTGCACCATTGCTGCACTAGTTTTAATCGAATGTGCAGTCAAAATGATTAGCCACAATGACTGAAATTATGTAGTTGTAATTACCAACAGATGGGAGGCTTTATTTGCACTTAAGGCGACTGTGTGCATGGGAAATGCAGTGTGAACAAGAATAATTAAGAAGTTAAAGTCATGTTTTTTCCAACTTGTGTTTAAATAATCAACACTATGATATAAATTTGTTTTAAATTAACTATATAGTTATATGAATGCTTTGCCAGGGGCAGACATCACCTTCCTTGAGGTGTGAAGATACTGATTTTTTAATTTTTTTTATTGAAACCTCAGTTTGTTAGTTTTCTGGAGGGAAGCAGCTTGTAAAAGCTGCAGTACCTCATGCTGAGATCTATCACAACACCTGAGGGCTCACTGGGGAGACAGTAACTCATCATGTGAGTCGGACAGTACTGCGTTTCTCTTGATATATGTAATGGAAAACAAAGCTGTTTTTTAATGGACACTACAGCATTGATACCACTTCATTCGTACTACAAAGTAATAGAGTAAACAAGTTGCCATAGTGCTGTCGACTCCTTGAGATAAATATGAGGGGTCACAAGATTATTATTTCTTTTGAACAACATTACGTTAACTTGTTCTGACTTTCCTTTAATTTTTGCTCTTTTCTTGTCACAACTCAATGCCACAATGAAGCCTTTCTTTTCATAAAACGTGTTTTATTTTCAGTGAGATATTTGTATTAGTAGCTGCCAAATGTTGATTATATTAGTGGAGATTAAAAATAAATATTGATTCATACATGCTCCCCAAAGAGGGTCAACGTCCATCAAAAGTAAGGTCCAGTGGATTCCACGATTAGGACAAAACCTCCACTTGTACGCTAAGATGATCAAAATGGGCAGATCACAAAGGAAACGAATGAGCTTCTCCAGAGGATGAGCCTGTTTACATTCCTCCGGTAAAACCCTCAGGCCAAAGTGTCAGCCCTCCACACAAGAGACTTAATGGCTGGATTGTTGTAAAATTTGTGGATAGTCATGTTCACCAAGGACAGATGACAGGCTGTGGTTATTTTTTTTACCTATTTTTTCTTTATTCAACCAGAGTAATTGTTTTTCTCTGTTTCAGAAACACCTTTCAAAAACTCACACGGATGTTCATTCCTGACCAGGACAACCAGTCATCCGCTGGCCACTGAGCAACTACACGAAGCAGCTGGATGCAACTGTGAGGTGTCTTTTCTCACGGGCACATGTACAAGATGAAAGCCCTGCCCTTTTTTCCTCTCAGATTTATCCTGCCAGTCCAAGGATCAAACCTTCATTGCCACACACTCCGACTATACATCTTCAAAATGTATTCCAAAATCATCTGAGTCTGGACACAACATGCTATTTATTTTGATCTTAAAATGGCCTTTCCTTCCTTTGCCACCCTCAGGCCCAGTATTGGCTCCAAAGGGTCTAATAATAAATAATGAATCAATGTGTTGTTTATTTTGTCCTGTACTGGATATGGTGTAATGCATGTTTCAACCTGCAGGGGGCTGCTTTAGACTTGTATTTATTCAGCCTCTTAATGAGAACAATTATCAAATCATTTTCATTCACTTAAATCAGCCTTCCAGGTCAGTTTTTTTTTTTTTTAGTTTAATTGGGTTGAGACATGTATGTGTGAATTAGTGGTCAGTAGCTGATATGAATGTGGGTTTGTGTAAGTATTTGCTGTTTTACACGTCTTCTAAATCATCCAAATTCTTTGTTATGCAGCTCTGCCTTGGAGTCCTTTCAACCAGCCGGTTCACTGCACAGGGTCCCATCAGTCCACAACAGGGTGAGATGTCTGCAGTTCACTCAGAATTCAACAGAGGTCACTAGAAACTGCTCTTGGATGAAGTTAGCTCATCATCCTCTTCAGAGCCGGTATGCCTTTTCCAAAATATGCTGTGTGCTGTTGTGAAAGTCTGTCTTTAAGCTGCTATTAACAAACAGCTTGTATCTTATTTCCACCCTATCTGATTCAGCAAACCTGCAACCACAGGCGTGCTTTATTTATGCTGGTGGATTTTATGCATGACAGTTTTGCTGAGGGGAAAAAAAAGTTCCTCCACCCGTCTTCCCCATGTTTCCCCTATTGATTTTGGCGCTGCTTTGATCTGAATCCATGCCAGAAGTGTCACTTAGATAAATCACTGTTAGTCCAAGCTGGCGTAGCTCGGCACTGGTGACAGAAGGGAGAATTCCACGTGGATCAAATAAATACAGATGTGGTATAATTAGTTGTATTCCCAATGAGCCTTTTGTGGGTATGTTAAAGATGCTAGGGATCAGCTGGCTTTCCTACCAGCAGCTTTTATCAATTTACACAGGAACAGAAGCTAGGTGGGTCACAGCCCATGTGGCTTTTGATGAGTCACATGTCCATCGTGCAGATTTGGAAATTAGTCAAGGTGAAATGTATGCAGTGTGAGAGAATTTAAATTGGAGCTGACTTTTCGGATGTGTAACTGACTTCTTCTTTTACAGACACTCACCAGTTTGTGAAATTAAACAGATATAACTGGCTTTATATTGCTCGTAGCCGTGACCGGGGAACAGTTCAGAACAGCTTTTTGCATGTTTTTTGTAGGTGATAGCTATCACATAATTAATTTCCTTTTTATTTAACCTTCATTCAACCGACCTGAGACCAAATTCTTATTTACAGTGTCATCCTTCATAGCAAGAGGAGTATCAGATAGATACTATATGATCGATAGAAAGATATGGATGTGACCATAGACTACAACAACTGCACTTTTCTTAAATTTCGTATCAAACATCTCATCATTGTATTTTCCAACAGCCATCCCCTAACAAGAATTAAGCAAAGTACAGTAAGGTTGATGGTCCTGTATAAATACAGTTTAATACAAATTCTGTTGCTTTGGTGCATTGCAACGTTCTGAGAGCCACATTAGGTCAGGGGTCTCCAACAGTTTATGTAAAACATGCTTTGATCTTCGCTCCAACCAACAACAGTACCACTTTAAGTGCATCATCCTATAACAAAAGGAGTATACGCTTGCCACATAATACTGCCATTACACTCCTTGTGCGATTGAAACCCACTTTTTTTGCTCTCGCAATTATAGGCCCCTTCAGGAGGGGACGTGTTTATGCCCAGCAGTTAGCAATGCATTGATTTAATACGTTTCTAATCAGGACATACAGCTTCAGGGCCTGAAATGTTAATTTTTCCTGCTGCTTACAAAGTAGCCTTTGATTTTCTGTCACGGCAGTAATTACCGTTTTTTGCTACTGGAAGGGGAGAGAGCTTTGTCTTGTCTAATTATGAGGTAATCATTGCTGTAGTGCCAGCATGTTGTTCTCACCTTTTTGTTAATACTATTTTAATTTTATTTTTACAGCTTCCGGCTATTACCTTCCCTTCTAATTCACACCGTGACACTGTTAACACTATACGTGTGTCTGTGTGCGTGTGTGCGTGCGTGTATGTGTGTGTGTGTGTGTGTGTGTGTGTGTGTATTTGGAGGGTAGCAGCCTAGTGACTGTAATTGTTGTGGTATGGGTGCTGTTAATTACTGGAGTAAACGGTTGAATCATGGCCAGGGCCCTTTGTGGTTGGAGAGTGGCGGGCAGCAGCAGAGAGAGACAGAGGGCTGGAAAATTGTTTTTACCATCTGGGGAACGGGGGAGAGAGAAGGGGAAGCAGAAAGGAGAAAGGGGGAACAGCGGCAGACAGAAAGGCCCAATTGGTGGTCAGAGCCTAAGGGTCTAGGGGTCCATATGGAAGGCAACACTTTGCCTTGCGCTTTATTGCACACCTTGCTGTTTTAATCAATGGCAAGCCTGTTCACAGAGCCTAGAGCAGCAGTGGTTGTTTCTCATTGTCTCACTGCTACTTCCACTTGTCCTGCTCCACTACACCCCAACACTTCTTACCAAATCTCTGAAGAGCTATGCAGCACTTTCAGGCCTATCTGGAAGCTGGAGAAGTGGATGTGCTGCGGTGAAAACGTTTGCACTGTGTGTGTGAGGTAAAAGCTCCTATATTGTAATGATGATTTGATACGCTTTTGGCTGTGCTGTTCCAATTTCCCTGCAAAGCAGGAATAAGAATGGAGACACCTGCTGTGTTTGGAGTCGTTTCTTAAAATGGAGATTCCATCTGAATTCCATTTGAGTGTTGAAAGTAATGAGATTAGGCTACAAAAGGCGTGTTAACACCGAGACGCTGGGAAGTGTGCTAATAACACCATAAATGTGCCAGCCAGCAGTGGTCTGACTCCTTTGTAACCCCACCCTGAGTGGAGGCAGTTCTGGTAATCACCCCCCTCTGACTAAGCACCACGTTGAAGAGTGAGGAAAAAAGCCATGGCTGTATGGGAGGCTGAGTGTTTGATTTTATCACAGAACTCTGGCAAGAACATGAATATTTCTTTAAATTAGACCCATTTTGTAATGAACACACACAACAGGGAAAGCTATACCTGAAGTAAAGGACCTGCTGTTTTCATTTCAAACTGCATAAATATTAACAGAACAGCAATCAGACAGTGGCGCAGAGCGCTATACTGTACATCTTGCATCTGATGGTATATAATGACTATAAAGGACAAGTCCACTGAAATACCAATTCATGTTGTTTGCCATGATCTTGGGCAACTCCATACGTGAGAATACATTTATCGCACCACTCTAGAACCCAGAAAACTACAACTGATAAGTGACAGTTTCATCTAGTGACATGTGCTTAATCCTGATTTTACATTTTTCAAACTTTCTCCTGATGAGGCATCGACAGCTGTGTTTCATCTGACTTGATGGATTCATTCATTCGGACAGAAATAAAAATTGATTTGTTTTTATCGAACACAGAACGTCCAAGCTGTTGGCAATGCCTTGTGCATTTCTAGTTTGATTTTTTATTCTTATAATTATGATTCTCATCATGATTATCATTATTGTTCACAAAATGTACACAACATACTACTACTAATACTCTACTCTCACTGCAATAGAACATAATTTTTGGAAATGTGGAAAGTTGTCCTAAGAGTTAGGAGGGGATGAGGGGAACTGGAACTTAATTTCATCACAAATATTTATTCAAATACTATGTACTGGATTTTTATATATAATTGTTTTTGATGCTGTCAGTAGCTTTCAAATGCAACTTAAGTACAGGTGATTAAAACATCCATCTTACAAAACCAGATCAAACAAACTTTGTAACTCAGCAGCAACTGTCGACAAACTGCCATCAGTTAAATAATGACCCATTTTAACTGTTGATAGCTTAGAGATAAATGCCCATACTTTGCTGTGGCACCAGTACTGTACGTGCCGCCAAGTAGTGAAGTACTCACTGCTGCTGTTTTGAAGTTTAATAAAGTTCAAAGTTGAGTTTTGAAAACATCGGCAGTAACCTAGGTGGAAAATTTGTGAGTGTCCTGTAGAGAGCGTCTACTTCTTTACTCAGATTATGAAAATAAATAAGACAGAATTGTGCATCATGTGAACTTTCCAGAAATCAGCCAGCAACAGTCTGCACCGCCTCTCCTCCATGTTCACTGACACTGTCACTGTTGTTTGGCTCGTTGTATTACAGCCTTTGCCATTACTTGGATTTGTGATTAAATTTAGCAAAGTGCTGCTGATAGTCGAATTGTCCAGCCACTCTCAATTACTGTCTAGGGAGGGTACCTGAGAAAGCTTAACACAGCAATTAACAACTTAATTAAGTGCCACAGCCATTGTGGCACTTCTGGAGCCATGCAACAAGGGGCGTATTGATTGCAGGGGATTGCCAGTTGGTCCCCAATTGATTGCCCAATTGATTGGCTTGGATAGGCATTCCTCAATGACTCAGGAAAGGAGTTGGTGTGTGTGTGTGTGTGTGTGTGTGTGTGTGTGTGTGTGTGCGCGCGCGCGCGCGTGTGTGTGTGTGCGCGCGCGTGTGTGTTTGTGCGTGTGCGTTTTGTCTCAGAGGAAGTAGCCGTCACGCCGCTATGTGACACACTGATAATGACCTGCCAGACTGGCTGCATGGCCTCTCCCAGTCCCCCTGGGTGTGACACACATGTCTGGTGTCAATCACTCACTCACTCTCTGTCTGTCTCTTTCGCACACACTGACGAACACACGCATACACATACACACACACACACACAAACAGAAGCCCCGGGACTGCGCTTGAATCCTAAGTAACATCTGCAGTCTATTCATTCTAAATACACTTGACAGAGATGCAGTGATAAATACACACACGCACACGCACGCACGCACGCACGCACGCACGCACGCACGCACACACACACACACACACACGCGCGCGCACAACAGAATACATTGGGAGCAGTGGATACACCAGTACTAACTGACACTTTAACACCAGAAACATAAATAAACTTCCATTTTATTTCAATTCATCTTTTTACAACTGCAGCAATTTCTACTGTGGTATCTTGATTTTCCTCTGGTCAGATTATACCAGTATATAATTGTTATTAAGTCACAGTTTCTTCAGGCACAAATGCTTTTCTTAAAAAAAACTAAACAGGTACGCTGCTCTTCATAGACACATGAAGACAGTATACACATATACACACAAGCACATGGATTCACCCACCTACCTAATACACCCACAAACACACAAAGATCCAGTGCACCCTGGGGAGCAGTTAGGATGCAAGGCGGGGCTGGATGTAGGAGGGGAGTGAAGTGGTGGTAAGACGTCACATAAACTGTCATCTCTTATTGTGTCAATGAAGTAATTCCCTTTTAAAGGCTTGACCCCTCACCCTGGAGGAGCTCGGCCAATTGCACAGTGCACTGGAGGAGTCATGAGGTGATAACAAATGACACAGCTGAGGGGGGTGGTGGGGGGGTGCAACGTCAGACTCACTCTGCACCAGTTTCACCACTTCACCAGGTAACGGATGTTTTCAAACCAATTACTAGAAGCTCACACTTTAGGAATCAATTGTTTATCTTAGAACCAGAATTCAGGATTGACTCTAATTTCGATAAATCTGCAGGTTATTAAATGCAACTTTAATTTCTCTGAATATTATATTATTATTTTATTATTATGTTATTTTATATAAATGTTTTTTTTATTCCTTACACTTCCTACTGATCAACATTTCCCTTTCAATTGAACTGCGTTTCACTCCCTGACTTAGTAGTCCCTTATTTTACCACTAGGGGGTAGTATTATATGGACAGACTTGAATATTGCTCTCAATGAGATAGTCTGACTTCCTGGCAAAGGGCTGCTCAGCTATGACCAAATATGTTTTTTGCAAATACATTCACAACTCCAAGGATGGTCATACAATGTTAAGCTTTGAAATGACTCTTTATTCTGTGGATTTATGGCAAAAATTCTGAAATTATGGCTGTGTGTGTGTGTGTGTGTGTGTGTGTGTGTGTGTGTGTTTGTGTGTGTTTGTGTGTGTGTGTGTGTGTGTGTGTGTTTGTGTGTGTTTGTCAGAGTGCTTGTCAGGCTCAGCTCTCCCTGCGCCTGCTGTGGTCCTGAGGTGGTCAACTTATGACCTGTAATTACATTGCTACTTTGCTCTCACATCTCACCGGAGAAGGTTGGTCTTAGATACTTCAATTACCTCACTTCAATGCCTCTGTTGCTCTCACATGCCCAGCAAAATCATAATGATAGTCCAGGGAATGGACTGATTCAGATTTTACTACATGTGCCACAGTAAAACAAAAATCCATCACAAAAAAAATGTTACAAGAAAACTATGAAATATATGAAAGTGAATATTTTTTCTGGAGAGTGTTATTATACTCTTTGCGCACTTAGCACACTCTGGGGGGCAAAGATTAAAACCTGAACCCTCATGCATCCCCGTAGACAGGCTCATGAATTCTTCCATTTCAAAACTTAAACAAGGAAAGCTTGAGAAAAACAGCACAGCAAAGGCAGCAACAATGCCAGACATATATTATATATATTTTTTGAAAATAGTCAGAATTAATTTGCATTCAAACTTGTTGTAAAATAGAGAAGAGCAAAAGATCTATCTGTTGGGGCATAATTGAAGGTTGGGTCCAGGTCGCATATGTTTGCCCTTGTATAGTTCTGCCACATTGTGGTGTAACGGAGCCTCAGCTGCAGGATTGCAGTTTTTAATGAAAAAATGGGGGCCGCCACATCCAGGTAAGACCCCTGGAGGTTGTTTTTCCAGGGCTTTGTTATATCCCACAATGAGGCAGCGTGGATACACACACACACACACACACACACACACAAACACACACACACACACACACACACACACAGATTTAACCTGACAATGATAGCTGCAGTAGTGGCTGATAGTACACACGTGTATTTCCCTGTAAAAAGCAAATGTTGGACATCTCCTTGATAATCTGAAAGAATCTTGAACAGGCATTAGATATCACATGTCTCAAAACTCTCATCAAGTACATGAGGAAACATCTGAGTTTATCAAATGCTCACCCAATGCCACTTTGGAAATCTAATAATATAAAGCAACCAGAGATACTGTAGTTATTTGTCGGCCCATTGTGGTGTTCAAGGCCAGACTTGTTCAGTCTTCTTGCTATTAATTGAAATGCCTCAAAATTTTGTAATTTTCTTAGCTGAAAACTGCTAGTCTTTTCCCCCTCTTGTTAGTAACTAGATTTGTATCAGCAACAAATGCCAGCCTTCAGTAGCGATGTGATTAACAGATTACCCTCACATCCTGCTATATTTTATGACGGATTTTATTATTAATGTGTAGGCTAAAACATAATTGATTTTTGTTTAAGAGCTTTTAAAAAAATGACCCCAAAATAAACACACATTTCTAATAATTTAGATGTATTTAAGTGTAAGGTGAGCAGGGACGTGTAGCAGAATCCCCGAAAATATGTCTATGAGGAAGCGGCGCTTAAAACTGCCCACAGTTATTTTTCTTCATTCCCGCTGTAAAGCTAGGTTGAATCAGCCTGCATTTTAATGGTGTTATGTTTTTTATTGACACCGCAGTTACTTCATATTAAATATAACAAATTTGTCTTAGTAATTTACAGCAATTTAGCCACACACAGTGAGGCTGTTGCTGCAAATATTTTTTGTTACCAATTTTTTATTTGCTTTGAAGCAGCACATGATAGCATACAATGAGGCTTTTGGCCATCAGGGCTTAGAAAAGGAGAAGAAAAGCAACCCAGGAGTCTGCAGTGGCATATAATAAGAGTATCAGCCATAAACATACAAATAAAAATGATGATTAACTTTACTCAGCTAACAGAGGCTTTAGGCAGCCCTGTCCCTGAGTCTGCTGCATCAGTGCCTCTGAACATTATATCATCCCAATAGAGGGAAGAAGGGAAGAAAGAGTCCAACACAACCAAAGAAAATACATATAAGTAGGCTTTTACTTTATATATATTTTCAAAGGTATCCAGTGGACATCTTTATTCCTCTAATTTTATCAATCAGCTGTGGTGTTTCAGAAACACTGATTAACACAGTGTTGCTAGTTACCCTCTCCTGCACTGCACTACGCACCTCACTCTTCACAGGGCACTGTGGCTTATTGTTAGCCAATAACATGTCACCCGGGGATTTCCAAATAAGACAGCTGACCATCCCAGGTTAAAATGGTTTTGCTCAGCAGTTCAGAAACTTTACTGTGCCACCCATAGCTCACTGGACAACTGACCCTGACCGTTTGAAAAGGCAAATGTAGCAGCTCTGATCTTCAACCAGCTGTTCATTACCCTGCTGGACACACAAACCTGCGTCTCATCACAGCACAGAGATTGTATGCCTCCCCACAGCCAGCTTGGGAGGCATTCAGCTCCATAAAATAATAATGATACTAATTGTAGTAGTAGTAGTAATTTTGCCAACTGCTGATGAGTCACAGGAGTCAGGAAACTTCCCAGCCAGCTAAGACACTAAAATCGTGTTACAGCTAACAAACTCCTGTAAGATGAATAACAATAATAATATACTCATATAATTATCTATAACAACAATTGGATGTCCCTTTTAATATGAAAAGTTCACCCGTTATAGATCAGCCTACATTAACAGTGTTAATGGCAAGTGCAAACTTTTCCTCTTCTGCTACTCAGGAATGTAAAACTAAAGGGACGGCTGGCTCATCGAAATTCCACTCAGCAGTTCAGAAACCAAAAAGTCTAAATTTTGTTCTAAAAGATTTTATCTTACACTGAGATCATTTTGCCCAAGATAATCTGATCCTTCCTTCCACATAGTCTTACATGAACAGACAAAACGTTGTTGGCTTTTCCAACTTGGGATTGAAAACAAAAAGTGTGTGCTCAAGTGTGGCATTTTACAGTATTTATTAATTATTTACAATGTTTATTATTGTTTATTGTCTTGGTAGGTCAAATATTATCATTAGTATGATTTAAGCAATCGGGAATTTCAGCTCTAGTATAAAGGTATAAAATTAACCTGTATTATAAAGGTGAGCAGTATTGGTGCTGAGCAGAATTTAAGTTTGCTTTGTCATCATTTATATGTTATATTTTGTATTGTATTGTAATATTATTTGTAATATTATTTGTAGCTTTTCATGTTCCAATCTGCTTGACAAATAATAACACTTCAAAGAGTATACTTAATACACAGTCTCTCCCTCTCTAATAACGTAACACATGACCAGTGTTGCTTCCAGCCTATAATTTGGGGGTGTAGTCTGTTGTTTGTGATAAATTGAAAAACTTGATGCTGACGGTAAAGCTTAAATACACTCTGTTCTACAGATGCCACAGAGGGAATTGGAATCATAAAAACGCTGTTCAGCCACTATTGGTTGTTGTGAACAGAAGGTCAGACAACAGGCAGAGGGATAAAGATTGGAGTGAGTTGGCAGTCAGGAGAATCTCATCTGACAGGATGGACCAACGCACACCAGCCCCACCACAACTTTCCACTGACACACTGCAGAATCAGGTCCATCGTCTGCCATAAATTAGACCTAACGTGTGTATATAGGTGCTAATGGCCAATTTTATTAACCACACGTACCGATGAAAATAACATAATAATATGAACTTTTACTGATTCTGATAAACATTTTTCCCTCCAGAGAGGTCAGAGGTCAGGTTAGTGATAGCGCAGTAGTTTCCTTGTAGCTGCTAAAGTGTCTATTTGAAGGATACTGTGAAATGACGGATGCTTTTTCAACTGGAAATTAAGCAAATATAGAAGGATGTGCAGATAATATGGGTTTAGGGAAACAAATTAATTAAAATTGATTACTTTAAAGACACTTATAAATAAAATAAATTAAAATATTTTCAGGTTTTAAGGAATGTGCTGATATAAACACTTTATATATCATCACCTTGGCTGAAAATATCACATTATTCAATGATATCTTGGTAATAGTTGATAGTTAAAAAGTAATTAAAAATTACAGGTCATACATGACTTATAAAGCACATTTATATCATAAAAAGTTTTTTTTTTTAACTGATTGTTTAACACAGGTGCTCAGTCATGTGTTAAACTTAATGTCATATATAAATTGAACTAAGGAGCAAATAAACAAATCCACTGTGCTTTTGTGAGTGCAAATATCCAACCACTGAGTAATTCAGCATCATCATGAACGCCTCCCATTGTTTCAGTTTTTTAACTTATAATTTAATACGGCATTGTAAATCACAACTGCAGCATAAAACTGTTTTCTGAAAAGCATAATTTAAAACACTGATTCACAGAAGATAAGGTCACAAAAAAAATGATATTTTATGGAAGTACGAAACCATTAAGCCATTTCTTTCTTTCATCATATTATTTCTCTTTTCTTCTCTTTTCTTTTTTTATTACTTTCACTGCTCAGTTCATTGTCTTGGGCTATATATGACATGTGAGCACTGACCATGATGGGTTCTTTCACACACCAAAGGTCAGAGGCATCACTTACAGAAAGAGAAGGACCCCCCAAACACTCACTGAGTCATTTACCTCATTCCCTATCAATTATTGACATGCAGTTGTCAGTTGAAAAGCCGGCCAGACTTTCCGTTGAGCTGTTTGATGAATATTTCAGCTGACAAACAGGCCACCTGACACTCTGCACCAAAGCTATGTGTGGTTAGAGAGGTCGCTCATCTTGGCCACAGTCATGCACATATGCATGCACATGTATATACAGTTACAATGTTGTTGTTGTGACTATGCTGTTCTAAATTCTGTAGTTACTGTTTATTTACATTAATTTCCCTGGACTGTGTGTCTGACAACAACTAACCTGTAATACTGTAATACATAATTTAGAGTAGGTAAAATAACTGAGTCTCAAATGCAAAAAAACCCCAAACAACTATATGTGCAGTTGATGCAGTTCATGTACTGTAGTGCTATTTTAACGTATTTGTACTTTGAGTATTGTCTGCTACTTTACACTTCTCTATTGAGTATTTGTTACTGCATTACATTTACCTGTTGATCTTATAAAATAAAAATCGCTGCTTTAGATAAAACTGCCCAACAGCATTGATTAAAATTAGTTCCACCTCAACCAGCTACAATATTAAAAAAATCAGTATTTATAATTAAATATTATATATACATTGTAACAGGGGCCATTTTGCTAAAAAAAAGACTTTTTATTCTATTACTAATACGAAAGTGGGGCTTCAGCACTGCAGCACTGCCTTTGAAAATATTAGATTTGAAAGTTGGCCGATGGCTGATCTGTGAGATCAAGAAAATACCTTTGAAGACGCCACCCACTGCTTTAGTTTGTGACTGGATCACAGAGTAGCGTAAGGAGTGCTGAGATAACAAATGAGGGCAGGCTGCCACATGAGTTTGCCTGGAACAAAGTCCAAATTAATAGAAATCATCAGCTGAAAGCTGCAGTTGGAACATTTTTGGAACATGCTCCAGGGCTGAAACAACCATGTGTGTGACAAAAAAAAAAAAAGTTTCACAAATGTGGAATATTGTATGGCTTTTAGTTTTCATTTTGGTATCATGTGAAAAACAACACCATGTAGTCACATCTTGTATTCAATAAAGTCACTTGACCACAGCATGAAAGAAGAGCCAATAGAGCTGCGGTGAACTGGTGATGGGTTATTTATGTCCTGCTCAGTTCGAAAGCAGCCTCTATGGAGGAGACACACCCCATAAATTTTTCTATGGCCCCTATGAGCAGGTCAGGAAGGCACCAATATTTCCTCTTTATTAGAAACAACAGAACCAACATGCAGCCATAAAGGGGACCTCAGAGGTGAATCTGAAAGAGTGGAAATGGCAGGGAAAGCATGCTGCTCAGAGAGCTGAGAGGTAGTCACACAATCCATTTCTTTCCACCGGCTTGTCCATATATTGGTGCATTTCCTCATAACTCTCACGCCAGTGACTCACAAACTCCCCATGCTTCATCACAGGTCAACTTAGAGATGAACTTTAAAGGAAGATGTAACAAATGATCGCAGCCTCTCGGGCAATTCATATCTGCTGAAGTGCAATAACCCTCAAAATATCCTGACCTCAATCTGGAGTCTGCATGTTGAAGGCCCATCTGAGGGAGATGGTATCGATCTGAGAAGGGGCTCTGGCAGCATCAATAAACAACAGGCTTCAGGATTCAAGGCTGAGGAGACACATCTCTATTTCAGCAGCGAGTGTTCGCATCTAGATACCTGAGTTGGGACGTGGCCCTGGACATATGTTGGGACCTTTTTTTTTCTTTTTTTTTCTGAACACACAGCAGGTTTAGCTCCTTTGTGAGACAAAATAAGGCCTTAAACCACAAGCTCAGACCTCTTTACTTTAAATAATTACATTAATGTTAAGAAGCATAGTAAATAGAAAGCTACCAAGTAACAGTCGATATCTGCGAGAGCAATCAATGCTTAACCAGCGGACAAACAGTATTTCAAGTGCTTCTATATCAGCATTACAGTGATGGAAGACAGTACTGACTTTGGCTCATTAATCAATAAACACAAGCCAACCAATACATTTGACTTAGAGTAATGAAATAATAATAATCATCAGAGGAGGAGGAAGAGACAAAGCAAATACAGGTTGCATTTGGACACTTAGTTACACATAAAAAAACAGCCATAAATGAAAATAAAACTATGGTAAATATTGGTCAATCTTCTCTGACAATTACATTGCTGTCTTGTTTACTTGCTTTTCCCTCTTTGCTTAGAAAGTTAAGTAAGTGTGCCTCATATATTTAGAGTCAAACTGAGCTCACTTTGTGCTAAGCAGCTTGTCAATAGCTAGAAAAGAGGTACGGAGCAAGAGAGGAGGTCTGATAAAATGGCTTTTAATTACCAGACAGTGAATGCTGGACCCTCCTTTTCCACTTTCTCCTCCCAGCTAAGTCAGGTGTTTGATTTCTGATAATGTGGATTGCTGACTGGGCTTCATCCTAGTTGCCCCTAAAGCAGAAGGACCTAACGTCAAGTCCTGGGAGAGTATGTTTGACAAAGTGCCATATAGATCCTCTTTTTTTCATCAGAGGGCAGTGCTGGTGGAAGCATTAATCAGAGCGCTTGATAGCCTGGCTTTGTTCTCCCCTTTACTCTCCTGTAACAATTAGACAAAGTAATAATTTCAGACATTACATGCAAATCAATGGGTCTTTAACCCAGCTGTTGGTACAGGTGTAAATGATGAGTTCAGTTCAGAGCAGGTCGATGCAGTGAACTTGTAAACTGTGTGTGAACAGTGGGTGTGTGCATAAGACAGATAGATAGATAGATAGATAGATAGATAGATAGATAGATAGATAGATAGATAGATAGATAGATAGTCAGATTAGCAAGATTTGAGCAATGGAGCGACAGAGCTAGCTTTAAAAAGTTCTTATCATCACACAGAAACCCGGTCAACAATCTTGGGTATCAGCTCTGTGAGCAGAGTGGTTTAAATTAACAGAAAAAGAGACTTCACTTTGCCCAGTGATCAATGTCTTGTTCTTGAAACTACAAGCTCTTTGGTGAGCGGGCAGACAGACTGATGCGGCTCCTCAATCATAAGGTCCTTATCAACAACGGTTTTAAGTGCCCCTTTGTTTTACATTCAATTATATACAAATGACTTGTGCCGAGTGGAAACGTTTAAATACTAATGTTGTGTTAATGTAGAGTGAAAGAGGAACAACCTCTTAGAATACTTGAAAAGCTGTGGTCATGAGGGCACACACTCCTCTGTGCACCTCCTACCTTTTAAAAAGAGTTTTGCTTAGGTGAACACAGAAGATGAGCCTTGTCAGTTTTTCATCTCTATAGCTATGTAACAAAAATGAAATATTGATTGAATATTCTGAATAGTAATCTAAGGTCAATTTATAAATAATATTTACCCTCCCGTTATACCCTCAGAAAGCTATTGTATGGTCAATATTGTGCTCTCTCATCAAACTTGATGTCACATCAGTGTCAGCAAAAGCAGTCCAATGTGGCAACAATCTCTTTTGATGGAGCGTTCAATAATTCCAATTCAGTATAAAAGGCTGAGTTGCAGACACATCTAGTGCGTTGCCTTTGTGCACTTTTCTTTGCAAAGCTTTTCAATCTAACACTTTTTTGTCCGAAGCACATTCATCCCGAGGATGACATTTTGGTTTTGTCAGTGGTGAATAATGACGACAATGACACAAATCACATTATTCACAATCCAACAGTCAGAATATGTTCACATTCCAATAAATTAAATAAAACATCAAAAGGTGTTTTTGAATTTATTATTTAATTTTACAGCATATTAGTAGTTGGCTGTCAAACAATGTGACACAGCATATAACAAAAAACATTTTCAAATTCTAACTGGCTTGATTTGAAACCTGGTCCATTTCTCCTTTTAAAGGGGCATCAAAAGGTCAGATTGTAATTGAGATAATTGGTTTTACATAGCAATTTAAAAAAAATGCTTTAACATATGCAAATATGCAGCACTGAGATTTTTTAAGAGTAGATTTGAATGCAGACCTGGTTAAGTGGAAAATCAACCTACATTTACTATACATGTCATCATAATTTTTTGCCAAATAGTGAGTAATACAACATTTGCAGTGCTACTGTATGCCAGGCCTCTTACTAGATAGTAAAAGCACCAATGTTTAGAGTTGCTTCAGGGATGGAGGTCTTTTATTTTGAAATGCCCTGAGCGGATGTTGATTCGGAAACGCTGCAGTTGTGGCTTCCTCAAAACTAGCTGCATGGCTAAATATCTCAGATAATACATTGTCAAACTTTGCCTTGGAGAGCGGACGAATACAAATTTACAGTTAAAGCTAAACCTCTCATGCAGTTATGTCGTGACTCCGGTGTCGGTGGTGACAGAGCTCAACGGTTAACGTTTTTAAATCTTCGCATCACTTAACACAAGTGTTTGGACTGAGCAGGATACTAGCATGTGTCGTTAGCAAACCACTGCAGGAAAGTAGTTCGTTTAGCTAGCTTAGACAGCCAGCCAAGTGTTATTATGAGGCTTAATTTTGCCTCTTTATGTTCATGCTCGATTTAAATAACCTCTTCGCAATGGACACCGAGGCAATAGTGATCCGTATAAAGACGCCGTCAGGGGACATGGACTCGTCCGTCGACTGTCCATCTCTTCTGAACTTCAATGACTTGCTGGTGAGTCTTCAAAATGCTACAGAGCCAGCTAACCATACCTCTTTGTTCCACTTCAAGTTAAAAGTTTTCACTTAAAAACAGCTGTACAGTGAAATGACATACATACAGTTTGAATTTGAGAGTTTCGGTTTCTATTTGAACGTCTCTGAGCCCAAACAACGTACACTAAAACAGTGAAGTTAGTTTTACAACACTGTGACCTCAACTTAAATATTAATATTTGGGAATGTAATTAGGTCTGTGTCTCTTCTTTAATCGTGACAAGCTCTCTGCATCTCACTACAGTTTAAAACTCTTATGTCTTATGCCATTGACTGTTATAAATCACTGTACCAAACATTTCAGGTCGCAATCAGAGATGTCATGCCTGAAGCCACTGTCACTGCCTTTGAATGTAAGTGTCTGTTTAAAGTTTGTATTGTTTTACTGCTGAAACAGGCTATTCAAACACAGCATTAAACTTGGAGAATTACAAAGCTTATTATACATCATAGTACTTTTCAGCTCCTGAATAGAGCTGGAATTAATAGTTGATTAATCAATTAGTTAACCGAAAGAAAAATAATCAACTATTTTTGTAATCCATTAATCGTCTCATTCTCATTCATAATTTTTCAAGTAGAAGTAGTGTAAGAATACCTTTGGTGTCTACCTCTGGTGTCTGCCACTCAAAATAACTCACATCTCTCATAACGAATAACTCCCACCATAAAATAGTTTTTAATCATTAAGCATTAATGCTAAATAGCTTATAGTGATGCTTATAGTCAGTCTTAGTAATTGTTATGTTAACAAGTTGGTGGATAAAATATAGTGAAGATACAATAGTTTATACTTGGTTTTAGGATAATTCATGATATCCTGACAAAAGTAATAGTCTATTTTGTTTTTTGTCATTTCAAGGCAGAAATAAAAACAGTAAAACACTTCTTATTAATAGCAAAAGTATTAGTGCCTTTCTTTGTAAATTGTCTTATGTTGCATGTGATGTTATACTCGTCTTCACAGTTATTGACAAATGAAAGTAATTTCCTATTTAGTTGTAATGCAGCTTTTCTTTCATTTTGCTCCTCAATTTGATGTGTACATATTCAAAATGAGTGACTTAGGTTGACTTTGTTTTGAAGGTTTTCATAATATGCATGAAAAATGAATCAAAAATGTTGTTAACATCACACTTTTACTTACAAATAATTTAGTATTACCTATCACTCATTGATAAAATATGAAATAACTTTCATTTTGAGTTACATTTTGTGGTAACTGCATATTGGCTATACAACAAGTACTGTAAGCTAATCTTATCTCATACAGTTTATAACAGAAACATGTTCCTCTTTGAGTTTTGCCTATGGTGTTAATGGCTAATTAGCAAAATAAAAAAAAGTTTTATTGTCTTGGTAAAATCCAAATTTTTAACATGCTTCTGTGTTTTTAGATGAGGATGAGGTGGGAGACAGAATCACTGTAAGAAGCGATGAAGAACTCAAGGCCATGTTGTCATATGTGAGTATATAAATGAATAGTTTTTTTTTGTTTGTTTGTTGAATTCATCATGTCAGACATTCATCCTACAAATTGCATTTTTGGTTGTATTTTTATGTTGCAACAGATTTCATGGGGGCTATTTCTTCATTAGATAGTAGCTCTGATGAAAACCTTTCACATTAAGGTCAGACCTCACTGTTGCCATTTCTGTCTACAGTGTGTATCCGGCATTCACTCCACTCTAAGTTTTCTCTCATTTCTGGCTGGACCACAACAGCGGGGACAGCCCTGTAATCGAAAATGTCCCTGACTGACTGATTGAGTTAGTGAGTGATAGAGTTGAGTGATCATAGTTCCACCATTGGTCATCAGAATGCCATGTGACTGAGTTGGAGTATGCCCATTGGCCGTTGCTCTTTCAAAATGAATTGGTGCAGTTTGGAAATGGCTTGGAAGATAACATGTAGTCTCCATGGACTGCATTTCAGTCACCATTCCAAATTCAGCAGTATTAAAATACTGAATATGTGAGCAAAGAGAGTAGGAGAGAAGCAAACAGGTAAAGGGCTGAAACCGGCTGACACTTGGCAGAATGCAAATAGGACACAATGATGTCAGTTGTTTACAATGGTTCTTAAACAGTTTACAACTACATCCTCATTTTCACACATTGACCATATGCAGTCCAGCCATATACAAGGTTTTGACCTTGTCTTGTTTTTTTTTAAGGGTTTTTTGTGCAGCTTCTCCAATCCAAATCAAGGGTTTAAGAATATAGAGTGTTGTATATTTTACAGATTGTAAAGTTCTCTGAAACAGATTGTTTTAAGGCATATCAGTAAGTAACCAAGACATTCTTTTAAATGTCCTGTATTTGTGTTTTGCTTTGTGCAGCACATTTAAAGAGCCTCTCATCTTTAGTGGAAAAAAATTCTAGAGACAGACATCTTAAAACCTTGGCACATAAAAGTCAAACTTTAAACAAAAGTTACACTTGCTAAAACTTGTAAGAGGTGCCAGCGGTCTGGTAGAACAAAATCTTAATCAGATGGCTAGATAGGATTGACAAATTTGGACTTCTTGCTTCCACTTCTACACTGACATTGTGTTTGTCTGTAACTTAGCAACTTATTAAGTATTTTGAAACAATTAAATCACGTCTATTTGTATTTAACCTTAGGTAAAACCAGCGTATTGGTAGTTTTCAGCAACTTACACACAACCATGCGCACACACACTTCCACTACCCATTCAGCTCCCCAACCTAGTGCAGTACATTTTCATATTCCACTATACTTACTGTTCATGCCACGGACAGTAAGAGTAATGGCGTGTAATGGGTTTCTCTACGAGGTACACTGAAAGCTAAATGAACTGTCAATTTTTATTATTTATTATTCAGTACTTAAAGTTTTGCCTCATTAAAGAGCGGCCCCCCTGGGCTGCAGAATTGTTCAAAATCTACTTTCATCTGTGGATGTCTTTTACCCCCCATCAGCTCACAATGATGCTGCTAGAGCCATAGGCACAATTTACACTCGTTGTTTTTTGTCCATTTTTATCATGCATTCACTTGTGGTTGCTTTTTAATCATTAAGTAGCATAGGGTAGCAGGGTGATTAAGCAAAAAGAGACAGCTGTCTTGCCAAAGAGCATTGTGAAACAGGGATGGAAAAAGCATTGACCTCAGCCAGCTTCATTATTCACAAGTCGTGCTGAAATGTTTTTTAGGTTTTGTAGCAATTTGCCGTGATGTGCTGTCTGTCTTGTCGAGAAAATCAAAGCACTGTTCTACCAATAAGGTTTCAGGAATTTCCTATCCTGGATGTTTTGGTAATACCACTATTGTGTATTGCGTGCTCAAATTTCATCATAATATTAATTTAACAATCTAATTTGGGAGTAAAATGCTGCTACAGTAAATTATAAAGATGTAGGGAATATATAAATGCATAATTTAAGGTAGCATAACAAACGAAAACACAATGGTACTTTAATCGTAATATTAATTTAATACATACCAAATATCAGCGGTAGTCACCACTATACCTGTGTATTTATTTGGCAGAACAGACTTCAATAGATATACATTTTTATTTAGTTTTTTAATGCATAATAGCAGTTTGTTGTTCCAACACTTGCTCATTCTTTATTCAGATGATGTGACATGTTTTAACAGCATACTAATTTATGACCCTGACCTCACAGCACAAATATTTAGTATCCACAACACTGCACTGCTTCATCCACAGAATTTCAAAAGCCATTTCTGCAATGAATTTTTGGCAAACAAATCCAGAAGCCCTGTAATGGTTTTCTACTTCTCATGGGACAGCCAAGTTTTCTACTTCTCACGGGACGGCCAAGTGTACGAAAAGCTGCTGATCACCTGGAAAATACTGGGCTCACTAAAATATAATTTACACTAGCAGAGTACTTTAAATGTCTTATGCTATGCACTTCAGCAGTCATTTGCATTTGTATTCAGAGGATTTTTTTTTTCTTGTTGTGGTTGTTTGCTGCGTTTGCCATTTGGCCTCCGTAGAGACCCCAGTGGATTTTGCTTTAGTGTTATTAATTCCAGGTGAGCAGACAACCATTATGTGAAATTAATAGGAATTAAGGGAAACCAGCATGTCAGGTGAAAGGTGGGATAATTCATTAGAGTCTCTCATGGTTGCTTTGTGTGTGCATGTATTTGTATATTTGTGATAATTAGTTAAAATATTAGGTATAACCAGACCTTTAAATATGCTGCCACTACAAAATGTTTTTTTTTTTCATATTCAAGATCCCTGCTTTAACTTTGCATAACGAAAAATGTATGCGCCTTATTGCTGAGCAAAATTAATGCTCAAATTCAGCACTTAATTAACATCAGTCTGCAGAGGGCATTTATTGTGAAAAGTATCCCCCCCTCACTGAGAACATTGATTGCTACATGCTCCTGTGAGACCCACTGGTCTTCGAGGCATCTCTAATCATTGTTCGACACCTTGAAAGACAGACGCCCCTGTTCAAAGTTAAAGACTGGCCTGTGTCAGGTGCTAAAAAAAACGTGACCTCATCCGTTCCTCGCTCAGCTCCCCCTGGAGGTAGTGGCTCTAATTCTACTATTCTTACTCCCATTTCCCCTTAGTCTGCTAATGATGATGAGGCCCGCTCTCTGCTCTCGCTCTCCCACTTGTCCCTTAAGGCTGAGTGATGGTATTTGGGATCGGACACTGTTTAGTTATTGGCCAACAATGGAGAATGTCTTTTAATAACACACCTACTACAGATTAGGTGGTAATTGCAGCCTTAATCAATAAGCTAGCTGAGCGGAAAATTAAAGGTACATGAAGCCCGCCCCCCAACACACACAACACGTTTTTTGGTATCAGGCCCATTGTTCAGATGTGGCCCAGTAAGAACGCTGGAGGGCAAGAGCAGAGGGCTTGGAGCGAGGAGGGATCTGACAGTGATAAATAGGCCTTTTAATAACAGCTGTGCCACTTGGGGAGTCATTCTGATCCGTTCCCATCCAAGCCAGTCCTTTCGTCCTCCCTCCCTCCCTCCCCCACCATGAGAGAGCAAATTTACATATCACCGTGATGACTTGGTAGTTCATACTGGATTGTAAATGAAACCCAATATACATGTGGGCGACATAAAGACATGCATCTCTAAAAGTGTCTAACTATGTCTTGGGTGAGGTCTTGGTGTTAATTTTTGTTGGTTTGAAGTCTCAAAAAGGAGGGGAGAAAAACACACTCACACAAACACATAATCCCTCTCTCTTTCTTTCTCTCTCTCTCTCTCACACACACACACACACACACACACACACACACACACACACACACACATACGCTCACAGTTTAACAGATGGTTTGGTTAACTGAAACATCAATTATTGCATTGCCTTGGCAAGCGTCTGGGAGGCTCCAGAGTGTGTGTGCACGTGTTAGTCCTGTAGGATATGAGTGTTTGGTGAGCTGTTGACCTGGAGGAGAAAAGGGTTAATGCTACACTCCTTCAGAACAAGCCCACAGGGCATTGGTCCTCATCGGCAACAGACTTCAGCACAGCATGCCCACATTTTTGGGAGCACTGTGGATTAATTCTGACGTCATTTAAATAAACATTTTTGTGTGTGAGTGCAGAGCACAGTCAAATAGCAAAATTAGCAAGGCTTTGTTTCATCTGTTTTACGTTGTTAAGTTGGATTGTGTTTTATTACATTCTGTTAACATTCTTATTCGAATTTGAAGTCATTCTTTATTTATTAAACATAGTTCCAGTGTGTATAATAATCACTTCAAACCACCATTGTTCTCAACTGTTTGAGAACAACACACTATATGACTCTCTTTTCCCCTTTAGTACTGCAACACAATGAACGAACAACGCATGAATGGACTGCTGCCCGACCCTCTCCAGATTTTTCCAAGAGGTACAGAGTGACATGTTACAGTTTATCATGGATTGGAAATGCTGAAATGCTCAATACATCTTTGCAGTGAATGTCGTGACAATTAATCACAAGCACAATTTAAATATATAAAAATATTCACACTTTCCTAATCGGAAACTATTATAGTTAAATTTGGGTAAATCACTTGTGCTGTGTTCAAACAATAGGAAAGGGGAGCATTTGGTGGCTAGAAATAAGAATGCACCCTCTGGACAACATTAAAATTCAGTGGCTCATTCTGTTATTGTGATGACTGTCATTTATAAATCTACATTTATTTTGCTCCAAGGACATTGAAACTGCAAGCTTGTATTCAGTCTAAACCTTGCCCAGATCTCTGGCATTGTGTACTTTCTTCTTAAGCTGGTTTTCACTATAAGTTCTTTTCAATATATATACCTTTTCAATATCTTCATATAATTTTCTCACCAGTCATACATAATCACTAACAGACCCCAAGGGCAAAGTGATGAAATATCTGTGTCTCTGTCGCTTTTACTCTATATCTGGCGCTCTCTTTTTGTCTGAATCTGTCTTTCTTTTCCCTCTCGCTCTGTCTTTGTATTTCCTTCTTTTCTTTAACTCTGTGATTCTGTTGTTCCCTTCCTACCTACCACCAGCTGTCTCAAGAGCACAACATCTCAATCACTCTTGTCTGCAACTAATTTCAGAGTAACCCTCATTTCATTTCATCTTTTTTTCTTTATAAAGGACTGATTCCTTTTCAGCACATTTGTAAATGGTCCAGTGATGTGTTCTACAATCTAGTCAATTACTGTTTCAGCCGGCAAGACTCCAGGGATCCGGAACATACATGGCCTGAAGGTACGTATCTCAATAATTGTTTCAGCTGCCTTACACAGAGAACAAGGGAAGGGGAGGGAGGGAAGTTGAGGCAAATGGATTGGTAACGCTGTGTTCCACTTATTGAAATGTCAATTGAAGTCAAGGCTCTCCTTTTCTTTCACTCACTCTCTTGCTCCCCTTGTCTATGTTTATGTATAGCGATGGCTGGCTGTGGCTGTGGCAGGCTCATCTCTCTCCTCCTCTTTCTCCCTGTATTCTTGTTTCTTATGCTGGGATAGTCATTTAAGAACAAGGTGTTATGCTGGACCGCACCCCCCCACCCCCCCCAGAGTATTACAATTCTCTGATTCTGTATGATAGGATGAACATCAGTTTTGGTTAGAACAAAACCTAAGTCAGGCAGTAAGAAGATGTTATTGTTCAACCATGAAATTGTCATTACAAGCCCCCCTCTCCCATTTACAAATGGCCTTCCACAGACCTTCCCATTTTATGCTGGGCATATGTTGCTATTGAAACTCATTGCTAATTATCATGGGTTAAATGACTTGACACCTCCTTCATCTCTCCAGATGATCCATATTATATCCATCTCCATTTCAGTAATAAAATTACCCCACCCCTGCCAGAATACGGAAAGTGCTTTATTTAATGTATCCTCTGAGGAGCTTTGGTAACAACTACTGAACTGTGTCAGTGTATTTTTTAAGGTCAGGGGTCTGTTTTGAGAAGATGATATTTTCCAAAAACCTTTAGTCCTTTGGTAATCTTTCCCCTCTTTTCTCCCATTTTAATATAAAAGTAATTGGCTAAGGAGAGTGTCTTGTGCACTGTTTAAATTAGGTCTTCCTGGGCACTAATTAAAGAGAGAATCCCTGTGCTTTAGTAGACCCAACACACCGGCCTTTTGACCTCAATTAAATGAATTATTTTTAGTATCGCCTTTACAGGGTCTTGTCTTTCCTTTTGTTTTCAATATCTGGGTTTAGTACAGAGATCTTTGGCATAAACATAGATGCAGATGAATAGATGTAAAGAACAATGTCCCTAGTGAGGCATGACATTTTTAATGTCTTGACTTTATTTTACTCCCGTCTTTGCCTAAATCTGTTTTGTCTGTCTTACTTCCTCTAATGTTAAGACATAGTGCTGTACTTTCATGCAAAAATATCCTCTCTTCTCTTCTCCTCTCATTTTCCTTCTGCTGTCTGTCATCCTTTCCTCTCCTCTATGTGGACACCTCTTTCTTTCTTCTTTACTTGCCTCACTTCTCTCTCTACGAAAGCCAATTAACCTCATGGCTGAACTGAGAGCCTGTGTTTTTTTTGTACATTAGGGGGTCTGGCCATATGTCTGTCTGTCTGCCTGTCTGTCTTTTGGCCTTGACCGCTAAGTGTGTGTCTGTGTGTATGTGTGTGTGTGAGTGTGTGTATCCTTTCACATTTCTGTGTATGTGTTTGCACTCCTTCAGGTTAATACAAGACCTAACCCAGCCAATGACTGTACTCATGCTGTTCCAGACTCCATGGCCAACAACAGGTGAGCTTGCTGGGGCTTGAGGAGCACGTTACGCTACCTGAAATAAACTTCAGTTGATTGCTTGATAGATGAGTAGAAAGATGTCTGTGATACTTGCGTCAGTGTAACTGTGCTGTGTTCCTTCCTGCAGCTTAAAAAAATCATCTGCTGAGCTGAAGAGGATCTTGACAAATGGCCAGGTGAGCCTGTGTTTTGGTTTAAGTAGAATTTGATCACTGCTATCTCACTGCCCCTGCTCTCACACCTAGTTTCCACTCACTAGAGCACATTCTCACTGGTGGTTGGCTCCACTATTGATTTCTTTTGATGCCAACTGGGCATGTCATACAGAGTGTATCTGGTTATTGGCTCTTCACTCTGCACTGGGAGCAGGGGTCTGTGGGTTGCTAGGATCAAGCCTGCTACCGTCATGTCTCTCTCTCGTTTACAAAAACACACTCTCTGTCTCTCGCACTCAGACTCTCTCTCACACACACACACGCACACACGCACACACACACACAGTGGCTAGTGTGTCAGGGAGACAATTAAGCCAGCAGCCTCTCAGGTTTCTTCTGTAACATAGTGAACTAATAGAGCTGTTCCCTCCCTTCTCCTTCTCCCTTCACCCATCTCTTCTCATTCTCTTTACCTCTGTCCTCTCACCATGTTATCAAATCAGTTGAGGTGAATGGGTGGGAAATGTGCATGTGTCATCTGCATGCATGCTGACATGTATGTTTCAATGTCTGCCATTTTCTGGCTGTTCAAATTAGTTTTAGCAGCCTCACATTGATCACATCAGTACAAATAGGTATCAGTCCACACAAATTTTTTATTCTTTTCATTTTTACAATGAAGTCTTAGTAGTCAATATGTAAATATTTTTGGTGATAGGATTTGACATGTATTTAACATATGTATTTAAAATTTGGAACAAAAATATGTAGATATACACATGGCACTGTTTTTCATGGCAGAGATTCAGAGAAATTCAGAAATTCTCAATCTAAAAGTGAAGAACAGGATCAACAACATTTTTTTTGTGAAAATATATTCATTAATTAAATGTTTAGCATCCGTCCAGTTTAATTATAAATATTCCACACTTACGTGAGGATAAGGAATTTAGTTTAGTTATTTAGTCTTTTTATTCTGCTAACACTTAATTTAAAGTATGTCATTTCATACAAATTGTAGCTACCGGATTATTTGAGTGCACTGTTCAGAGGAATTTCATTGGCCTACAGGAAAATGTTGACTGGTAATGGTCAAGAGGTGGAAACTTTTGCTCAGATCACTCATGTTAGCTTGTGCTGCATTATATCACCTGCCACTGACACTTTTTATGAAAGCAGAGTGGAATGACGACAGCAAACAAATCATCGTTAAACTCTGCATCAGTCACTGTCCCACTCACCCAAATACAATGTCCTTTTATAAATTGGACAGCAAATGTTGTATTGATCTCCTCTTCTCCTCCCTATGTCTCCATGTTTTCTCTCCTTATGTAGCTGAACTTGGAGTGACCTGAATGCTTGTCTTGTTTATAGCCTCCAGTGACAATGTTACGCCCCCCCCCAATCTCTCTTTCACTCCCTCTCTCTCTGTAGTTACATGTCTCTCATGTTATGGTATTGTTATGGTCTCATGTTATTGTATACCTGTGTGTGTTTGCTGCTCTGTAGATAAATGCCCAAGATATCCATTATCAAGAGCAGCTCGGCCATGGAAACGGAGGCACAGTTTACAAGTAAGTATTTGCCTCTATGTACAGTGCAAATATGAAGGGTCAGTGTGTCAGGGTCCAATTTGAGACCAATGAGTATGAGTTTTCGTAATTTTTCTGCTCAATTTTTATGACATATTTGCGCACATCCCTCTGCAGTGGGATTCTGTGAAGGCTTCTCTACTCTTCACAACCCTCCCTCTGTTCCTTCATTTGTCCATTTATCTCTCAGTGTTTGGTGTGACATCTGTCAGGCTGCTTTGTGTCTGTACCTTCATCTATTTATTCTGGTTTGAAGGTTGCAAATATATGGTATTGATTTGGGGGCTGTAAGGTATGACAGCAGTTGACTTCATTGGTCTATAGTACAGCATATTACCTACAAGGATGGAAGAGCTCCGTCCTCTCTGGCTAGACAAATGTATTACTGTCCTGCTAACATTATGACAAGGTTGGCATTTGTATTGCTCCTTTTATCTTTCTTTTCCGCACCTTGTGCTTCCTCCTTCCCATCAATCCTTAGCTATTGAGCTGTTTTATTGAGATTGAAGTATTGATCACTGCTCAGACTAACCTTGACTTGACGGAGCGGTATGCTTCACACATTCACCAGCAAACCTAGTAAATTTCCTATCCAGCAAATCCACAAGACTCTTTTTTTTTTTTTTTTTTCGCCCCTGTCTGTCCAACCACCTTTTTACTGTTTCATTAAGAGCCAGTCTCTCATAGTTGTAGCAGAATAAGGTTCCTGATCAGTTTGGCACAAGAAATGGTTACACAGCACTGGGGGAGCTCAATATTGCAGGGCCAACATTTTCTCAGTCAATTTAGCCCAGCATAAAATCCATATGCTTTGGTGCTGAAATTTTTATGGTTAAAAGGAGAAGATAAAAAATACAGTTAAAAAATCAGCCAGGTTATTGCATGTTGTTTTATGTGGTGTCCATTTTAATTTGGTTAACTTATTTAGGTTTTAATTAAGATTTAAAAAAATGTTAATCAATTCATAGGTGCTTTTTCAGGTCAGAATAATCAGGGCAAACAGAGGAGCCCAGACTTACTTTTCAACAGCTTGAAGATGTAGCCCTTTGAGCATTTTCCTGAGCACATGCTGTGTCCCAAATTCATACAACACACTAATTCTAAGCAGCTTTTAAGTATGTAGTCTTCACACTAAAGTGACAGAATATACTTGAAACAGTCAGTAAGCACATTGAATTTTTGAAAAAGCATTTTACTGTCATTCTATAAAGTTTAATTGGCATTTTAATTCTAAGGTGGCACTTAGAAATGCTGTGGCGCCCTTATTGCATCATTTAGTATAAAATGGTTAAGTATATTGATTTATTATATACTATTGTGTATATAACTGCAAAGCAGTTTACTGTGCAGATTAGTATATAGTATATAATATTAATTTAGTTCGAGAGAAGTGTGACAAAATATTATTATAATCTTTTTCCCATGAAGAAAACAAGACGATGATGAGACAAAAATGAAATCATTAAACAGTAACGACTAAATCTCCACACAGTATTGTTGACAAAAAAGGGGTGACTAAAATAAACTACAACAAAATCTTTCTATATTTTCATAAGTGAAAAAATCTTTTCTTTTCTTAGATTTACTTAAAATGACTAAAAATATCATAGACTTTTGATGTCAGGTTCACAGCGTACAACTGGTCTTTTGCTTCCCAGTCTACCAAATACAACAGCAAAGGCACAATAGAAGCTAGTGCTCTCAGCCTCCCTGCTTCTTGATAAGTAAACTGGTCATTAAAGCAAGAGGAAACTCAAAATTGTGAATTTGTAACAAAATTGCTGTTAATTGTGTGGGTGCCCTTGACATCATCTTTAAGACATTGTTAATTGCCTTTCTGTTTCTTTAATTTTAATTATTTTGTCAGAAAATCCGAATATTAAAAACGGCTCTTACCTTGACATTGACTTTGAGGTGTTATTGACAGGTTATTAGTCGGCCACTTAAGAATGGTGACTTGCTGAAGTCTTTGCTGTGTTGTATTCAGTTTAGCTGGATTTTTTACTTTAACAATTCTAGGAATTCCAATCAACTTATTATAATCCTCTCAACTCTTCGCACTCTCTTTATAGGACAAAAACTGTGGTACAATAAGTACATCAAAAGACTCTTCACAAAAGCTTTATTATTGTGGGATTTTCTTTAGAGTCTGCACAGGAAAATGATATTGTCCATTCAGGTGCGTAAAGTGATGAAAATGTGGAGTCTAGGTTGGTTGGAAGGATAATCATAATGCACTCTCCATCTCAGTCACTGTTGCACACAACCTTTGTGTTTTGTTTCTGTACAGAGAGAGAAAGAAAATGGCATTACATTATAATGTATTAGTCTAATTCTGTCCAACATATTTTAATTTCTTCATTATTTACAATGTTAACAGTTTTTGTCAGCTGTGTTTACAGTGGAATTCCTTTTAATAAAATAGCAAAATATGAAACAATTTGTTCTTTATGCTACATGAAAAAAACTTCCCTTTTACTCTGATGTACCTGTTATTTTGTAAGAAACGCAGGGATTTTGTGATGTCACTTTGCTCAGCTAACAAAGTTAGCATTAGAGCAACATTGGATTATATTGTTGTAGCTCTGGCCATTTGTCCTTTTACATGGTACATAGATCTTGGATGAAAGAGGCATCACAAAAAACGTCCAATAGTCAGACACAGTCATAAAGGATGGAAGCTATTGCTCACTAGCTCCGTGCATCATATACTGTTGTATCAGTTGAAGCCATTTAATGTAGCACACAATGAGCATGGCATGTAGATAGCCACTGTCAGTGTGTGAGCTTGCCTACAGAACGGTGGGTGCAGATGTTTTGATGCGTCACGCTCCATTGATATGCGTTGCCCTCTAATTTATCTTTTGGCCAACTTTAAGAATTAATTTTTAATAACAGCAACTGCTGATGATGATGATATGCCAGCGACAGTGTTTATTTCAGCAGCAAAATACTATAGGCAAATATATTCATGGTAAATTAGCCAAATCCATGTTTTCAATATCATGCTTGCATATGCACATGTGCATGTGTTTCTGCAAGTACAGCATACTTTTTGTCAAAAACCATTGAAAATGAGTATTTTGGTATCCTTTGTTAGGTAGGCCAGCTATACCAAGCAAATGTTGCTGTATTGAGCAGGAAATGAACCATTGGTTTAAAAATACTGAAGGGCCCGGACAGGGTTCTTGCTCGCTTAGAAATCAATTCTCAGTTCTCTTCAGCCTCTACTCTTTGCTCCAGCTTATATCAGGCTCATCACGTTTGAAAAGCACTACCAAAGGATCCCCACCTTTTAACCTCTTAGCCCATTTATGACCCAGAGCCATTTAGACTCAATTGGATGTTACCAACACCTCAGCTCTCCATAGCCACACGTTGACCTAGCCATCCATCACTGTCGGCCTTTGCTTTTTATTACACACTCTCTCAGAGGTCCATCTTGTCCACCAATCTAACTGACTCCATGGCTTATAAATACAATAACAAGGACACAAAGGCTATTTTTTGTGACTCATGGATCTAGCATTGCAATTAAAACAAGCACACTGGCCCGGCTATGGTGACATCCACTTAGACACCCATGGTTGTTCTTTTAGTTGCCTCAGCCCATTTTCTCCATTGATTTTAGTTACTTTACCTCATTGATTAGACTGTATATTGAAGGACTAAACATCTTTGGTTAATTGGTGGTAACCTAGCATCTTAAATCTAGATTTTTTGATTTTTTTTTTTTTTTTTTTCAGATTATGCATACAAACCAGCTGCAAGGGATTGCAGTCAACAACTGGTGTGACAGTACATATCAAATGCATTTTGAGTGAACTCTTCACTGGTTTCACATGCCGGTCGCTTTCACATTTGTTTTTTTATTTTGGTAGATTTAAAACAGAGATCAGGATTTGGTACTTCAGCTCGGTAAACCTGCTGTAGTGGTTTTCGAATAGGTAAATCAGCTTTGATTTGGAGATGACTTGTACTATATATGCTAAACTATAAACACTCCTTACTCCTTAAATGTAGCCTTATACAACATCTCTGAAGTAAATCCTACTTTCCTGAAGGTTATAATGTCCAGTTGATTCCCTAGCCAATTCCGAGCTACTGATGTATTCAACTGCTCTAACGTCACTTTCAGTCATTGCTGGTGTTGTTTATTAGTGCACAGGTATTATTAAAGTTGACAGAGAATGATACTTAGTGTTTACACAGAGATAATTTGTTTGTTAAATTAGCAACAATGTCCTGATACAGGAAAGTCACATTCAAGACAAAGTTGATGTTTTCCATAATATAAAAAATGTACTTTTACTGCAACCATTTTCTTTTAACACCCCAAAGGGCAATGTAGATAGAAATGAATACAATTTAAAAGCCTTTTGTCTTTGGTGTTGAATATTTCAACAATAAACTTATGAGGTATGGAAGTAAATTGTACATTTCTTGTTTATGGACACACTAACAAGTAGGCTAAATTATCTAAGCCTGAACAAATTAAATCTGAAACCTGGGTGAAGAAAATACTTAAAAAAAAAAAATACATTAACTTTCAAAATCTCTGCAAATACAACCTTTAGTAATTCACAGCTTCAGGCTAAATGATAATGAAATTAATGTTGTATGAAATAATGGAGTATTTAGTATTCGATGGAGGTTAGAGTGACACAGTAGTGCTCCAATTTATTAATCTTTTTTATTTAAATGGAACATAATATGATATTTGAAACCCATATAACACACATTAAAAACCACAAGTATTCAAACAAACTTCAGATCCCTGAAGGTGTCGCAGGACACAGATTTAGCCGCTCTTACTGTCTGTACCTGTAGTAACTGGTGTGATAATGAACAAGTGCCATAGAACCTCTTTATGAAAATAAACATAATGTCGCATAGCTGCTGGCTACTACACCATCTCAAGAAAAAAAGGCATCTGTTTGACTTCACTTAGACTAGAGTGAGTGTGTTTCTGCAAACACTCTCTAAACAAGAGTTGTGTTGTTGAAATTTCTTTCTCAGCCACAAGAGGCCTGCGTTCAAAAGTGATTTCAAATTCATGGAGTTGAGGAATACTGACTTTCACTTTTTTAGCATGGTAGAATGTAAAAACAAAACCTTTCAACTTTGTTATTTCATCTTTTCAGCATTGCTGCTTCAAATGTGTTAGATGTTTAGCAAGCTCTTTTGTGTACATGCATGTCTGTGAATGTCTGTGTTTAAGTTTCTGTCTGTCTGTGTCAGTTAGGAGACCCATTATAGCTGTGTCAGGTGAGACAGTCAGGAAGAGAGAGGCAGCCCATCATCCATGTGGCAGTGTAAACATACCACGTTAGCCCTGATCCAGGAGACCAGTCTCTCCAACTTCAGAGACATAGAGAGAGGCCCTATGAATACTGCATGATTGAGCTTTTATTACAGAGCAAGCTGGAGTGTAAATAAGATCCAGGCAATGGGGCACGTTTACTGGGGTCAGATCAGGGGGAAGTGGTGGGGGGTGGCTATGTAACCTTGTCCCCATGTCTCCCGCTGTCACAAGCCTGTCACTGTAACTCATACAGGGATGCTCTGCCCTGAGGTGGTCAAGGACAGTCTGAGAATAAAGCTTTAACCAAGCAGTAGTCACACTATATCCAGCTAAAAAACGAGCCTGCCCTTAAAACACATTGTTTAAACTTTGGTATTTCTTAACCCTTGTATATCTAACTTGGGCATATGGTGTTCTTATCATTTAATTATTATCATATAAAAATTAGCTGCTATTGTGAACAGTATATATTAAAGCTATATTATGGGAATATTGCTCTACAATCTTTTTTAAAGCATATTTAAAAAAAAAAAAAAAATGTGGAAAAAGTACTGTATGTATGTACTAGATGGCTTTAATATCTGTTTACCTTGATCCAATTCTGGTCAAACTTAATTGCAGAAAAGTAAAAAAAATAGAGATGTGAGACTTTGCATTAAGGTACATACACAAAAACTAAACAGACACAAACACTCAGATGATACTTGTGTACATGGTATCTCACGTGAAAGCATTATCTCTTTAAGCTGCACTTCTTGTGTGTTTAAGTAGCAGTTAGATGCATTCAGCCATGGGCTGGGTATATTTGTCAACACATCTAGACTACTTCTTGACGACTTCAGGTTGTTTAATGTTGTGAAGACTTGGTTTAATCTCTTTTCAGGTTGCCTTACACACACTACCTACCCAGTCAGTATTTAACATGTCTACCCCTGCGATCTTGCTTCAATTAACATCTGCATCTTAATTAAGAGGCAGCAGTCATGCTTAACTGATATTGATTGTAGCTTAAAGGAAGACCGAGACATCATAGTGGAAACAAGGCCATCAGCCTTAATGTGCTAAGAACTGTCACAAAAGATGACACTTATAAATCAGAAAGACACTAATACTCTTTGGGCAGAACAAAATAACATTATGCACACACACAAGAAACCAACTGAAACCTGAGGAATGAATAGTTGAATACGTAGTATTACACTGGATTATCTGGACAACTTGAAATATAAATGTCCTACTTTTATAGTTATTTTTCTCTTAATAATCTCTGAAAAGTCTGCAGTTTCTTTTTGACTTCAACAGATGTGTAAGCTGCAGCTCACATACAGCATGGCATCGGTACACACCACTGTTAGTTCTAACTGTGGATAAATACCTGACATGGCACTAATAGGTGTCATTAATTAAAGGCCTGGGCCAGTTCAGAGGTGTCTGGCCGAAGAGCAACGTGATACTCCTAATCTAAGACACATTAATCACACTTTGCACCATACACATTTTCTCTGCAAGGCCAACTGACAGGTGAGTAGCCAGGTATCACATTTACTGAGCCTGCTTGCAAGCTAGCCATCCTGTGTGACGTACATTGCCCCCACCTCATCTCCATCACCTGACAGCTGTTGCACAGTATTCGTCCTTGAGGATTGTATGTTGAAAGGTCCAGAGGCATCGTAAACTAACCTTCAAGGACTGTAACTAAAGCCGACGTTGGGCATTAAGGACTTTGATAATTAAATCATTACAGGGACGGTCTGTGGCTGCTGCTTTACCTGCAATTCAAAACTCTGTCTGGAACACCTAGTGACAGAGCTGGACTGGATCTGGTTTTGGATAGTGACCTCTGACCTTTTGAGGGAAATGACAGTCATTTTGTCATACTACTTCAGACTCTACTGTTGCTCAGAAACTCACAGCCCTGTGGAGTGTACCTTGCACTTGAACTTTGTTAACAGTTCTTGCATTCCAGTTCTTGTCAAGTTATACTGCATTTACTCAATTTCCATTTTTGTTTTTTTTCCGAAAGTATAATTGCATCACACTTCCCTCCTATGAATTATGCACTCTCAATTCACTTCTGCTGAATACCACATGACATATGAATTTATGATCTTTTGTTGGCTGCAACAGATTTACAGTTCAGTGTTTTCCCTTGTTCAACATGTTTGTTCAACAAGTCCAACAACAACTAAACTGTCTAAAACTTTTGCACAGAACTGTATGTTATGCTCAGAGCTCAGAAGAAAGCTTAAAGACCAAGTGAAAATGAAATCACAAAAACCCATGTTTCCATCTAAATAAATTCAAGCAACCGCTTTCTATAGTTTTGTTTCATATCATCTCCTTTTATGTCCCTTTAGAGCGTACCATGTTCACGGCAAGCGGGTTTTAGCTGTCAAGGTGAGAACTCCTTCCATGTTGATACCATTGATACCACTGACCTCATTAGATCATAAGAAGAGCTTATTAGTGTTGTTTGTTAAGGCTGTACCCCCACCCCCCCACCCCTCCCCTACATGTTTGATCACAGGTCATCCCACTGGATATCACGGTGGAATTACAGAAGCAGATCATGTCAGAATTAGAAATTCTCTACAAGGTTGGTTTTGACTTATTTAATCTGTTCCTGCTTAACAAAACAACTTCTCTGTGTTGCTGTCCTACCACATCTATGTTGTTAATTAATCATGAGTGTAGCTAATGAAGTGCTTACAATGTAAGCAAGGGATCAGCAATACATGGACACACAGGCAAAATGCACATGGGCTTGGCATGAGAGTTTACTGAATACTGTACATGCATGTATTTTTTTTCTCTTTCACCTAAGACATACTGTCCCAAACACTGCGAGCACGGAGTCTCTCTCAAACTGAATGTGTGAAAAACAGTGAACACTTAGTTTACTGTTGAGTGATGCTCTTGAGCACCTACTGCCGTCACTTAAACAATCACTTGGTTATGAGAAATTTAAAATTTTGTGTACAATGAGGTGCCACTGTTACATTTAGTTCAAATTCACAATGAACACACAAATTCTTTTGTATCACAAATAAATATTTTGGCATGCTCATTTTTGATCATATTATTTCTTCTCTTGATTGCAGTGTGATTCACCCTACATCATCACTTTCTTCAGTGCTTTTTTTGTTGAGAACAGGATATCCATATGCACAGAATTTATGGACGGTGAGTTTCTCTGTAGCTTAAACCAGTGGATCACATGTTTGTGTCTTGCCAGCCACAGCTGTGTAGAAAATACTTTGGGGACCTGTCCTCTGTCTCTCTACCGTGTATCCATTTTCACTTCTGCAGATCAAGAGAATGTCTTATCTCTGAGCTGCTTAGCATGCCTGTGTGCTAAAAGCTACAAGGGTGTGATAAACCTTGACTTAAGTGCATTTATAGGTGCGTTTATATGTGTGTGCTGGATTGGTGTGAGATGTGGGACTGTTTATGTTTTTAGGTGTGTGTGCTTGTCCAAGTGTGTGTTAATGCAGTTATTCCCCTGTTTCACACATTTGCTAGCTTGTCAACAAAGTCGTTCTAACCTCTGAGCACATTCTTACTTTATGAAACTTTTCTGTGATCAGTCATTTTCAGTTGTGCTTGGTTATTTCCAACAGGAAATTACAATTAGACTGCACCAGGAAACAAATCAATGAATTTGTCGGTTTGGTTCTTCTTTTACTGATATGACAAAGAAATGTCAAACAAATACAAGTGTCAGCAAATGGAATTTATAACAAACATTGACTACGATTGTGTAGGCTCACTTTAATCTTCAAGTGTATTTTGAAACATACCTGGACTCTGTCCTCTGCATTGAAACTATGTCAAATATTAAGAGCAATAAACAGCTTTTCTGAGAATGTCCACACTCATGTGGAAAATGTTGAAAATGTCAGGCTTCTCTTTTGGCTGTTTCTGAGAGATTTTTTATATATTGAGGCTTAGACAGTCACACAGTTGTCAGTGAAATATTTCTACATTTAAAGGACTAGCAGTTCTCCTGCTACCGTCATGAGAGGTTGTTTTTAACTCTATCAAAGAAATATATTTAAATATTAATTTTGTGTAGATTTCCAGTGTGAGTGAATAGACAGTTCTTTCTTCAGCTTGGGATACAAAGCATTGTGGGAAATGGTAGTTACTTACTGTAGAGCTGGATCCAGATGGAATTGTAAGCAACATTTTTTTTTGTCAGTTGTTTAGATAAGTGTGGAGTATTGCAACCTGTATAGCCAACATGCATTTTGGTTTGTGTTGTACTAAGAAGGCTATTATGAGATTATTTAAGAAACTGTGGGAAAATGTTTCAAACTATCACTTCCTTAATGAATAATGTGTCTTTTGCAGGTGGTTCTCTCGACGTGTACAAACGAATTCCAGAGCATGTGCTGGGGAGGATCGCAGTGGCAGTAAGTTTTCATGAAATACTAAATCTCCCAATCAGTATTTTGATTACTGAGTGAAAAGCCTTTGAAACAAGGGGTGTTTTCTGGAGTTTGTTAGAAATATTTATTTAGGTGTGTAGTTTATTAGAGTGTGGTCGTCTATGCATGCATGTGACAGTTTTGACTGTGACCTGTTATTCATTTTTGTAGGATATAGAACAGGTCTGAGGAAAAACACTCGTTTTATTAATGAAATGAAAGAAAAGAGAACCACAGGTGTGAAATTTTCAATTAGCCTCTATTGGGTGAAGTGCGGACAAAGTCAGTGTGTTCCCTTTATCCTGACCTCTCTTCCTTTCTCCCTCCTTTTCTACTCTCAGTTAAAACTAGCATTTTGATAGAAATGGCCTTGAAGTTGATAAATGCATGTCTCTTTTCCACACTCATTACCCTTCTCCTGTCTCCACCTCCTCTTTTCTGTCTCGCCCCTTTAACTTTGTCCGTAATCAAACAATGACAGCTATTTAATCAGTGTTAATTCTAATTCACAGCTTTCCCTCCTTTCCACTGTCACAGTTGTTAATTATCGCAGAAAGATAAGCACCCAAGAGGGTGTGAGTGAAGCTGCACACACCAGTTGTTGCACTTGCACCTTTTGAGGCAGCAAGACTTCAGAGAGCCTTTGTGCTTTCTTAATTTTATCTTAGAGGCTGTTATGCAGGAGACTAGAAGCTAGAATCAGTTCTAACATCCCATTAATGAAAAAATCACCACAAAGCAGTATTACAAATTGGGAAATGAGTAATACTTAAAGAAAAATGTAAAGATTTTTCCAGGCATGTGGAGTCATATGAGTATGACCAACATGCCACTTGTGAGGTCTGCACAAAGGTGAAAAAAAAGTTCTCTCCTCTTCTACTAACTTAACAAAAAAAAAAATATTGCTCTCGCAGTGTGTCTCTGACCCTAGTGTCTCCTCCCAGTCAGTTGTTCATGTAACCCCTTCAAGGCGAGGTAGCAATGAAGCGTCCTACAGGGTGTCTCAACAAACTCAATGAATTCATTTCATTGCGCAGGAGCAATTTCTGAGTACCAAGGTCCAACAGGCTCCTCTCTCGATCCTGTAAAGAGACAAATCGCCCTGTGAGGAAACATTTTCTTGTTTGCTTGTGTATGCAGTCTTACTATATCTATGACTACCTAAAGTGACCAGAGCTCAGGACTGGAACCAACTCGGCTCTCCTTTTGTCACCACAATCCAATACACAGTCTACACGAGTGTGGCTGACACGCCCTAAACTGTAGTCAATTTTACGATACTTTTTGCTGTTAGCATACTTCAAAGATAGAGAAGTTCAATTACTTGGGGCAGGTTCTTCCTGTCACCTGGTTTGAGTGATTAGAAGTACACATCCCAAGTAGAGTAATTCTATATAGATGGAATTAACATTTCAAAAATGGAGGGGCATCTCACTCAGGTAGAATCCATGGTCACAGTCTACAGACAACATCCGCATAAATGGCAGAGATGCAACCATACGGTCACCAAAACAGGCACTCTAGACCTTGGCTTCTCCTGGATATCCTGTCAGTGAAACCATGAACTGAAGTACAGACAAGTTGCACTTTTGCGGGAATTCAGTGCCCATCGTGAGTGTAATTGACCTTTATTGTCCAGAATGCCACTACAGCTCTCATTCCCTAGCCCATTCTCTCATTAGCACGGACTACAGAACTTGCTAGCCAACACAGATTTAAAAAGCCCATGTAGACCAGATTAGCAATGAGTGTGGACTCACCCATTGGCCCTTATGGCTGAAACCAGCAGCACCACTCCTGATTGCCAATCTGAAAGCAACATCAATACATTAGATGCACGTGTGAACCATGACAGCACAGCGGCATCCAAAGCTTTCAGCATTTCAAGATGAATCCTGTCTAACCCCACCCCCTTGCCCCTTAGATGCTTACCGACCACCTCAGTGACATGTGCATGACAGCCATGTTGGGAGGTGTAACTAGAACCATTGTAATTTTTCCGGTACATATCTGCTCGCTACGTATTGGACAAATTTAAACTCTCTCAAGACAGCACAAATGACAGTGCAGGCTAAAGTCTTGTTTTTCTAAATTCTAGATTAAGGTCATGGCTGTTGATGTTATTAAGCCAAGTGTGCTGGTTGTTGTCGAAATTACTGTAATATATTTTTTCTGTCGCCTGTGTCTCTAGGTAGTCAAAGGCCTGACATATCTGTGGAGCCTGAAGATACTTCACAGAGGTGAGTAAGGTATTACGTAGGCTTGTGTTATTAAAAAAAAAAGAGCAGACTTGATAAAGACAAGCTGCTGAGTGCTGATGTTGCAGTTCTATCAAGCAGTTTGTCTCCGCAGATGTCAAGCCTTCCAATATGCTGGTGAACACCCGAGGACAAGTCAAGCTCTGTGACTTTGGTGTCAGCACACAGGTACACTGATTTGTTTTTGTGAGCATTAGGGAGAGAGAAACGATGGAAGATGGAAGAGAGAAGAAGAAAAACAATTGTCTATAGCTGCATCGCCATAGTCCTGTGCAATCTGTCTGTGTGTGTGTGTGTTTGTGTGCACAGATCTGTGTGCATATGGTCAATCTGTCAATCACTGCATTCATTTTCAACTCAAAACATCAGCGCTATCCCAAGGGTCTTCCTCTCACATTAACTCCCCCCCCACCTCCATTGTTCTGCAGCCTCCAAAAAAATCACTTGTTATAATTATGACCCACACACACAACGGCAAAGCCTCATTGATATGTATTCAGTGGATGTGGGGAAAGCGTAGGTAGCAGACAATAGCCTAGTCCGTGTGTGTGCGCGTGTGTGTGGCAGTGTGTGGCACTGTGTGTTTGTAATGTAATCATCAGGGACAGACCTTCAGCATTCCCCAAAACATCAACCCCTGGGACTGTTTCCCTTTTCAACACACACACACACACACACACACACACACACACACACACACACACACACCCCTTCTGTAGCAAATTGTTATTCATTTTTGACCTCCACTTCCATGGAAGCTCCAAGGTGAATTTTACACCTTGTATGTGTAACACTAGCAGCATTGGCTCGTCCTCTGTCTTTTTAACTCTGTGTTTGTATTTATCTCTCTTTCACACATACACACTCTCCTTCCCTCTCTCACTCTCTGTAGGGCATGCTCCAAAAAAAGGGAAAAAAAAAAAAAAAAAACAGCCATAAGGGAACAGACACTCATTATCACAGTCCTGTCATTGATGGCATGTGCCATTGTATCCACACACACGCACAGACACACTAACGTCTCCTTGTCTTACTCCTGTTCTGTCGGGCAGGGGTTGGGAACAGCCCAAAATATAAACCTGATATGTCAGTAGATTTAGGTTATGTAAATTAGGTCCAGCTCACATCTTTTTTTATTTCCCAGCATACAACAATGGAATGATGAGCCTAAAAAGTTATTTCTGAGGGTTGAGGTTTCTTATTACTGTTGGTTGAAAAGTTTGAATTTATATTGATATGCAGCTTAATTATTTGCTCGTCCACTCTTAATTAATTTCTCTTGCAGTTGGTGAATTCTATTGCCAAAACGTACGTGGGAACCAACGCATACATGGCAGTAAGTGACCCCTTGATTTCAGTCCCTTGTCAAATCAGTTTAAAGTTGTACCAGAGAAGAAATTACTTTTCACAGGAATCAGTCTGTCTTGGCAGTCTTTGATGTTTCTTTTTGTTCCACAGCCAGAAAGGATATCAGGAGAACAGTATGGTATTCACGCAGATGTCTGGAGTGTGGGGATCTCTTTCATGGAGGTATGACAATGTATAAATGGCTTCATGCTGTACCTAGTATTTGTACACAGATAGAAGTGTGGCAAATGTATGCAGAGGACACTAAGTTCTTGTAATTAATTATCAAACAGTTTAGATCCAGTAGATTATATTGTGTCCTGAGACTGGCTGTTGCTCACTGACTGAGCAGCATAAAATACATATGCATTTTTGTGTGTCCGTGTGTGTGTGCATCAGTATCTCTGTTCATTTCTCCCCATAGAGTTGATCAAATGCTTGACTGACACCCTGCGTTTTCAAATAACATTTTAATTTCACTATTAGACTTCCCCTCTTGTCCTCCCACTGACACTATTGATTCTCCATCTGTTTCTGTCCACAGCCCCCCCCCCCCTACAGTATAACAGATGATGTGGGCTTCTACCTCGCCTTTGTTTGTCAATAATGTTATATCATTACAATTATAACAATAATGGATGAGTTCACACAAAAGAGGCCATGTCAAAATTATTGACATGATCTCTGTGTGATAAAGATAGAGTTTTATAGCAGTGGACCCCCTGGCCCTGTTCTCTTTATTTCTAGCTGTGAATGTGTGCATTAAGCTAAATGAAATGGCTTGCAGTCCCACTCAATGTGGATTGATCTTTAGCCTGCTAGTTGGTCTATTTATGTTCAAGGAAAGACTGTGAGTGTTTTGACATTTTAATAACATAATGTTGCCAATAAGCTGCCCTTGACCAAGATGAAAAATGTCCACCCCCAGTGAATTGCCAAATGTCAGGGAGAGATACACACATTACATACAACCATCCCACAATCCTGTCCCCCTTCTCTTTATCCCCGTATTTTGTTCTCTGCAGGGGGTAATCGTGGGGGGGTTATTAACTAATAGCTGATGTTGTTTGATGAAGTAGTGTTATCAGCATGTGGGCACTAAGCTTACCTCAAAGACTGAAAGTCTCACATTCTGCACGCACCAGTGGCTTTAGCAGCGTTTTCCTTCTGTGTCTACAACAGAATTCCATGTCATTAAGACACTAGTAATGGAGGGGCATGTATATATTAATGTATGTGCACATATATTGTATACACAGGGTGGTTACTTTGTCAGGAGCACCTGTGTAGTCTTGTGGAGTTCAATCCAGCAGCCATACAAGGAATTCTACCTTTGTGAAGCATATAATTTGTAAGAGAAGTGTTGACTCACCTCTAATGTCCCTTTTTAAGGCCATTATTTCACACACACACACACACACACACACACACACACACACAGTGCACAGACATAGCCTAAAATATAAAGATGCTAAAATTGGCCATTATAAGATGTACAAATGTAAGTATTATGACTGTTTGATTGGATTACATTTGTTTGCGCAGGGTTTTTTTTTTTTTTTTACAGTTGTTGGCATATGCCTAGTACTGATTCAGCCTTTTCCAGTTTTTTTCATTCCTTCAAATGTCTCAGTATGAATCTTAGAATATACTGTAGCACTTACTACTTTCTTCTTTTACACAGTTGGCGCTAGGTATGTTCCCCTATCCACAGGTGAGTTATTTTCATTTATTTGTCGTTTTCATTTTTTTCTATCTTCCCCTAAAAGTCGACTTTTAAAAAGGAGCAGATTTGTTTAAACTGATTTTGGCTTTGGCAAAAACTGTTAATTTATTATTATAGTGTTTGTGTTGCAATTTCCAATTTTTTCCAAAATTTTGTGTTCTTTTCTTAATTATATATTTCTTTTAATATTTAATATTTTACAGTCTCCCCAGTAAATAATTTATATGATGAGGTTTTCTAATGATTCCAAACTTCAAATACTTTTTTATAAATTTGCTGTAACTATTACATGAGGCACTAATCATCTTTCACAGCCCTCATTGAAACTAAAATGTCTAAAATGTTGACTGCGAAATATTCTGTTATCCATACTATTTTCCACATTAATTGTTTATTATTGATATAAAACTTTAACTGTATAAATGGGTTTGGGTTCATGTTTTCCTTCATTACACAAAGGTAAGATCCTCCTCAAATGTAATTGCCACCACAGAAGTGACTTCCCAATCCCATCAAGTCTTAATTAGTCCTTTTAAGATGGGTTTATCTCCCCAATCCCTAGATGAGTAATCCGAATCTGGTTACCTCAGGTTACCTCCTGGCCATCCGCCTTCACGACAATTGAAGGGGAAGATTTTGTCTAGTGAAGAGTTTGTACTTCAAACTATCTTATTATTGTGTGACAATTATGATTTGAAAGCCTTAATTATATTTTACAAAAGCTGTGATTTTTCATTTCTACTTTAGTACATCAGCCATGGACACTAGCTATAATTTTGACTTTGTATGGTTTCCTTTTCAAGGAAAATTATTAAAATCTTGAGTATTCTGCATATTGACACATGATCATTTTGTGTAATTGTCCTGTAGGCATAATGTATGCAACACTTGGACTGCTCTGTCAGTCAAATGAAACTACATCATTGTGGTTGGTTAAAGAAGCACGGTATGATGTAACCAATATACTATCTGCTCAGGGATTGCCTAAGTGAATGCTTCCTTTCAGTATGCCAATTATTCCTCCTGAGAAAGGGGGAACTAATTTATTAAATGTTTGATTGGATGTCTCAGCATGTTTTTGTTTTTTTTTCTTTTTCTTTTAATGATATTGTCAGTTACTTCTGAAGATGTTATCCTACTCATGTGAGCTATCACACGCTGAGAATTAATTCAGCCCCTTATTGGGTACTTCCATGGTTAACAACCATTTGTGAGACACATTACAGTCCTGATGTAGCTCTTCACTTATTTTAAGTGTTGATAATTAATTCTTAAGCTATGATAAAAAAACAAATGCAAACCTTTGTGTAAGGGAGCAAAGGTGTGTTTGCAGCCTAGGCATTGGTGGTCCCTCCTTCATTTAATGCTTTCATTATCATGTTAATTGTTAGTGTATTTTTGCAAATGAATGGTAGTTTAGTCCACTCTTATTGATATAAATGGGGTGGACAAAACATTAGCAGTTTAGTTTAGGCTCTCCACTGTCATGCAGCTTTACTCATCTTAGTGTTAATTTTCCCCTAACTCCATATGGTACTGCAGACAGTTCACCTGCAGGCTGTAGCTGAGTGGTGTGGCGAGAGCGCTCGGATCCAGCTCGTCAGGCGCAGCCAGCCAAAGTCCTCGGGCCTAAGCTGTCATTTTTGCAGACGCTGGCACAGCTGTCTGTGCAAAACCCCCTGCTACACTTCACAGAGAACATTTTAGTACAGACTGAGAGAGAAGTTGGAGAAGATGAAAGAGAGAGAAAGATTGGAAGAGAATCAGTGGCATCTGAGTTTCCACTGTAGACTTGTGGAAGATAAGGGATGAACTGTTAAAGTTGAATTTGGCTTTGGGGTGTTCATGAGTTGCACTTTTGAAAAGCCAATTTTAGCATTGTTTGAGGTCTTCTGTTCACCCTCCACGTTCGGTGGAACTGTGTGTGCTTGCCAATGGCTTTAATTTCTGGATGTTGTTTAGTTGATGCATCATCTCTCATTCATTCTTTTGTGTGTGTACACACAGTGGAGTCATCACCTCATGTTTGTCAAGATTAGAGATGGTCTCTTTAATTCCACTTCACCACATGTCGGGATTCATTTGTATTCTTTGTCAGGAGTTAATGGAGTTTTTTCACGGCTCGCTCTGAAAGTCTTTGAAGACACCAGACCTGATGTGATGTGTATACAGCCGCCAGCACTATTGCTTCTGATTGATTTGTTGTCTTTTTGTTTGCTCTGTGGTTGTTTTTGTTTCTCTCCATTTTGTCATATTTTCTCAAATTTGAATGAATTTCTGGATGAAATACTGTGTCAGTTTTTTGTGAGCATGTTTCAGGAGCTTACATTACACATCACTGCATCCATCAAACACCATATACGCTTTCCCTTTGTTGCTTTGTTTTTTTCCTCTCAAATGAAATGGAGAGGAAATGGTACTGTAGTACTGTATGTATGTTGTAAACAATGTTTGCTGTAATTTTTCAGCACCATATGCCAACTCCAAAGTCTCTTTTCACACTTTTCTTGATCACATGCTTGCTTCCTTTAAGACATAGGTTAAGATTTCACTTCAGTATATCAGACTTCCTTTTTAGCTTTAGATTATTTAACAAATGTTGGGAAGAAAATATTGACCCTCCATTCTCCGTCTTAAGTATGTTAACCTGCACAACATCCGTCACTATTTATCACCATGCTAATTATTGTCACCAAACCATATTAGAATAATGCACCATGTCTGCACAACCTTGTTGGCTTCCCTAATGCAGCCTATGAAGGATAAGATTTTTGAGATACAATGTTTTGACTTGATAGAACTTTCTCTGTCACTCATCGAACAGGTGATGCCTGTCTAAGTTGAGCAGTATTGAAGTTTTTGCTAAAGTTTAGAGGAGATCAGAGTCATTGGGTGATTTTTAATGGCCTATGAGTTAACTGTTGTTGACCTAATAATAAAGAACAGAGAAAAGAACCTCACCATTTACCCTCTTCTTGATGTTATGTCTGCATGATGGCAGACTGGGACTGCCTTTGCTCATAACCAAAACAAGCTTGTCAACCTTTGTTGAAACTGATGGTTTTGATCAAAAAAGGAGCCTTTTTTAAGAGTTGTCTGATTCCTTACCCTTGAAGACATGTCTTTTAAATCCTTGAGGAGGGAAACGGCCATCTGATCTTTTAGAAGTGTTTGAGTTCCTCTTGAAAGGAAAAGAAATCATTTTGACATCTAAAAATGGATTTTGTGACTTCTAATTTAACATGCTGAGCTCACTGTGATATTTTCAAATGACGAAAAAAGCCTGATTTGGCTCACAAATCATCACAGAGCCACTGGAGTGGCTGGCACATGGCTCTTCAGCTCAGAGGAACAAGAAGTTGATGTTCTACACAACTACAGTCATCATTTGGTGATAGACACACATGGTTATTTACACTCTCATACACAGTCCTTTATAGACTAAATACAAACAAACCGTATGCAGCAAACACAGCTCCCCTGCCTGTCAAACATCAATTTGTTTGTTGTTCTTAGATCATGTATCAGAAGAAAATTTGAAGAAATGCCTAATTGGAAAGTCTTGTCTTTAGTTTAAATGTCATCTTAAACCATGTTTACCCTCAGGATGAACAGATAATGAAATGTCTACCGGATAATCAGCCCACAGTGGTGAGAGACTGTTAAGAGTGAAAGATAGGGAGGGATTATTAAACATCTCTTTTGATGTGTGGTCAAGCAACAAAGTACAAGAATAAGTGCTCAATTATGCCTGAATAAGTTAGTCTCCTACTATCCAATTTCAACCCCTGTAGCAGCACGCAATTTTGTCCTAGTAATTATTTCTGAACAAATTAGTTTTCCATAGTTGCATTTAATGTGTCTGAATCAGGCAAAACTGGATATAGAGGCAGTTTAGGAGTCTCTTGGTATTTAAAGAGTGGGAAAACCTGTATTTAATTGAGTGAATCAATAAGTGCTCTAATGCACTGTCAAAAGACCTGGAGAAATTAGCAATTTATTTACCAAACATTATAAGACATTGAGCTGAGCCTAGGCTTCAGGCCTATATCATCTAGTTTAAATGGTGACATTGTAAATTTGTGTTTTTAGAAAATGAAACTGATTGTCCCGGTGAATTCAGACCGAGGTGTTTCACTGTAGTTTCACAGCAGTGTCATTTATTTGAAGACATTATCTCAGAGGCAGTGTCTACATCTTTACAAGAAGAAGTTCCTGTTCTAGCGCATATTTTTTAAAGGTGTGAGTCCTTTAATATGTTTTAATTCGCAGCATAGAAAATTCTTTTAGCAGGTCAAATGAGTATTGGGTTCTGAATTTTTTTAATTTTATTTTCTATGTTTTGTTTTCCCCTGATTGATGTAGGGTATTTTTGCACCAGATCATATTTTTCCTGTTTTCCCTTGTCCAAAAAATGATAGTATTAACCCTGTTGTCATCATGTGTTAAGGTGTCTTCCTGGCCTATTTATTGTAAGTGTTGCACCTGTGAAATAGACCCATTGAGCATTCTCATTACAAACCTTGCTCATATTGTTTGTAACAGTTATTCTACATCCCTGCGCATCTAGATAACCTGGAGGGCAGGAAAGTACTACTCTGAAAATCAGTATTAGTGGGTGTTTTACCCCCATTCTCCACAAATGAGAGCAAGGCCATTAACATTTGTGTGTTTTCATTATGTAAATGGTGTTAATGCATACTCACAAATTGCCAACACAAAAGCAATAATTTTCTCCTACTGATCATAATGTGTCCAAGTGTATCGTCTTGATTATGAAACGCTAATTACATACTGCCTCATCTCTTCTTCTCTGTCTTGCCCTGCAGATTCAGAAAAACCAAGGATCTTTAATGGTAAGTTTTACTGCATTAGAATAGGAGGAAAGAAAATAGAGGTCTCCCACACTATAGTCAGTTACTCTTGGGTGGCTCTCTCATTTGAAAAAAAAAAAAACACTCAAATTGCATTTCCGCAATGAAATATTAGATCATGCCTAAACTGTTGGTATTACATTAGGTGCCATTATGGAATAATAAAAACATTCAGGAGGAGAAGGAGGGCTTTGTCTGAGCTCGCTGCATTTGATTAATCTAAGTAGATACTCTTTATCACACTTGATTTTCCCTATTGCCAAGAAATTCCATGTAGGCTAGCTTGTTTTTTTAATCTCCCTGTGTCTCTCCTCTTTCAGCCTCTCCAGTTACTGCAATGCATCGTTGATGAGGTGAGTCGTCGTCTTATGTGCTTTTGCATCTAAAGTCAGTCCTAATGGCCCGGAAAGCTTATATTTTGTTTCCTAATGAAGCAAACCACTCAGGCGGCTTTGCTCCCCATTCACTCAACCCTTCACCCTATGCAACTGCCTCAGGCGATACACATATGCACACGCACATTACTGTAGAGGTTGGACCCATCATGAGTGACACACACACACACACACACACACACACACACACACACACACACAACACAAAACAATTCTGTATATTGAAGAGCCTGTACCAAAGCAGATAAAAAAATTGTTAAACCAAGACTATTGTCATGACTGCACCAGGTGTATATGATTCATACACAGCAGTGGCACATTACAGCAATATATGATGAAATTGGGTTTATGTGATATCTGGTGTATTTATCACTCCCGTATATTGAGTTTGCTGAGGTAACATCTGATTATTAAATGCTTTTGTTCTTCCTAACACACACACACAGTTTATCACTTGAAATACTTATAAAACCAGGCTACTGCGCAGTGCTACCCAACCTGACCCAACTTGAAGAGTTTTCTGTTTCTTGGTATATGGATGCGTTTTTTTTTCCTGTGTCTGTGTACATGGATGTGTAAGCACACTCAATACACGCTACACACCCTACATTTTCATCATTACTTTCCCCTTCACTCTCTTTTTTTTTTTTGCTCAAGTTCTTTGCTGACATACACTAATAGCAAAAACATCACAACACCTCTCAATCCTAAACCAGCTCCCCCCAAGACACCTATCCCCAGCCATATCGCACATTAAATATACAATGTCACTTGTCCTTAACTGCCTATAGAATGGCCGTAATTAATAATTAAATGCTTTTGGTTGTAATGGATTGACCCGGGCTGACCTGTTCATTAGTCAGCTAGACGGAGGCATCACTCAAACTATTTTTCCTGTGCCCTTTGCCGTCTCCCCTTGAGGCGAGAGAACACTCTGTTGTCCCTGGCGATCAGCACCGCCTTACTGTCCTAGGTAATGTAGTGCTTTGGAGGAAGAGACAAGAGGCTGCACTAGAGTGAGGAGTTGTATACACTCACAGAGCTCTTTATTAGGAACACCTTTACATCTGCTTATTCCAGCAATCACGTGGCAGCAGTGCAATGCACAAGATCATGCAGACAGAGGTCAGGAACTAGAGTCAATGTTTCCTCAGAATTGGGGAAAAAATGTGATCTCATTGACTTTGACCGTGGCATAATTGTTTGTGACAGACTGGCTGATTTGAGTGTTTGTGGGATTTTTGCACACACCAGTCTCTGGAGTTTACTCAGATTAATGCAAAAAACAAAAAAAAAACAGCCAGTGAGCGGCAGTTCTGTGGACAGAAACACCTTGTTGATGTGAGCGGTAAGAGGAGGATATCCAGAGTGGTTGGAACTGACAGAAAGGCTATGGTACCTCAGATAACCGCTCTTTACAACTGTGCTGACCAGAAGAGGATCTCAGAACGCATAACATATTGAACCTTGAGAACCTGATGAGCTACAACAGTAAAAAAGAATGTAGCCTGGTCTGATGAATCTGGATTTCATTTCAGTCACCAGATCTGAATCCAGTGAAGACCTTTGGGATGGAGATTTACAGTATGAATGCGCAGCTGACAAATCTGCAGAAATTATGTGATGTAATCATGTCAATATGGAGCAGAATCTCAAAGGAGTTTTTCCAACATCTTGTGGAATCCATGTCACAAAGACCTGAGCCTGTTTTGAGAATAAAGGGAGGCCCTAGTATTAGTATGGTGTTCCTAATAGTGCTCGGTGAGTGTATACTCCATTGAACAATGGAAGACCCAGAAAAGTGCTGTACCTTTCTTCCCAGTTTGCTGCCAGTTCATGGCTTAGTACAACTTGTAGAATTTAGAAGTATCATGGAAGCATTACAGTTGCATTTTTATTGTCTTCTTTTATTTTTATTTTATGTACTTGATCATTTAATTCATACATTTTTATAATTTTAATGATTCATTTTTTTATTGGGGTAGACACACGTGACTTCAACATTGTGGGAGCTCTGATATGGCAAATTATAACTGGATCACTGACATCTAATAAGCATTTCCCATTGTATATTTGATCCAAATACTTTCTATTTTCTTTGATTGTAATGCTTTGATATTGTGTGTGTTACTTATCCACTGGGGATTTGAAAGTTGCTGTAATGGCTGAATGAGTAATAGGCTCCTGTGAGTGGATCATTAATTTTACTGTAGCTAGAGGTACAGTGCATCCAGAAAGTATTCATACCCCTTCAATTTTTTCATCAGACCAGAGAATCTAGTTTCTCACAGCCTGAGAGTCCTTTAGGCGCAAAGTTTTTTGCAAAAGTTTTGCTGAGGAGAGGCTTCTTCCACGACGGAGGCCAGTGTGCTCTTGGGACCCTTAAATGCAGCAAGGATGTTTTTGAAGCCTTCCCCAGATCTGTGCCTTGACACTGTCCTATCTCTGAGCTCTGCAGGCAGTTCCTTCCACCTCCTGGCTTGGTTTTTGCTCCAATATGCATTGTCAGCATTAAGACCTTATGTAAATAGGTGTGTACCTTTCTAAAGCTAGACTCCAGTCAAAGTGTAGAAACATGAAACAGGAACCTGAGCTTTAATTTCAATTCTAAAGAATTGTTTTGATTTTAGCATACAGCTGCAACATAAATGTGAAATGTGGAAAAAATTGAAGGGATCCCGCTACTGTCTGAATCCACTGTATGTGTGTGGTGGGGGGGTGGAGTGTGACAGTCTACCTCTCTTTTTCTTTTTCTATCAAACTGAAACACACAGTGGCAGAGAAAGACTTGTGAGACTCACAATAAAGACCATATAGATAAAGATGAACAATAAGTTTAACAATTAGAAGGTAGACAGATTTAACCCAAATGCATCTTAAAAACAAAGGTGGCAAAGATTCTGAAATCATTTTATGTGGGAAGGAGAGTGGCCTTGAAAATCATGACATCAACAAAGATAAAATTTAACAGAGAAGAGAAACAGTGATCGCAAGTCACATCCTACCAAATAGATGGACCCTTAAAGAGCTGGGTCACACAAGTTACAAAAATGTTCTTGCTTACTTAAAGGTATCTAGTTTTGCAGATAGAGCCGGCATCCCAACACAATGGAGCTGGATGTAGTTTTGATAAAAAATTACATTTTAAAAATTCAAAAGAAATCTCTCATTCTAGAAATATGTCCCACTTTATCCACAGAACAAGCTGTCTACAGTTTTCAAAATGGCCCTTTTCTTTGGTAGAAAGTACTAGGAATTAAAACAGTTGAATGCATACCTCTGGGATGGAGTCGCAAAAGGAAAAAATGACATTGTGGGCTTAACAAAAGCAATATTTATTGCCTATGTAGAAATTGCTTTTATACAAGGCCAGCCCACAAAGACAGAGAATCTGGTTTAAGGAGAACAAAATGTGAAGCCCTGAATGATGAGGAGAAAAAAATGTAGTCAGCTTTGTAAGTTTTTGTTAATTTGGATGAGTATTTCAAGAAAACCAGAGGATGCCATAACCCTTGAGCTGCATAATGGCCATGCAATATGAGACCATATTGTAGGACCAGATACACCCAACACAGAGTCCTAAGTTATGTTGAGGCCAATGAGTAGTGCCACTGCTTGTAAGTTACCTTGTATGTTTAATTTCAGTTAATTTAACTAGTACACGTTTAAGTGTATGTTTCATTCAGTTATTCAGTACCTACATTAAGGACACTGGTCATGGCAAGTCCATGGCATGTATGTAAGTGCACCTACACCACAGTAAATTGTCCAGTGCATCTAATTTATGTTAGCTGGTATTAGTGTAGACATAGAAACATACTTGCCCTGTTCGGCTAAGGTCTTGAACGAGAAGTTCTCTGTAGTTGTTCCTACCATCTGTCTGCTGTCCACTCCCATTAATGTGCCTCGCTCCTTTGTTTGTTGAATAGCAAGTGGCTCCACTAATAAAGAACTCCCACTTTATTTTCAAGCCTGTAATTACTGATCTAATTTTGCCTAATAATTGCTTCATGGCAATGACATGTATATTTACTTGTACCCTTGTACCCTTGTAGTGTGTGTGTTCTGTCTCATAGTGGAGCGCATTGACAACCAGAGGAATAATTCACACAGACTAGCCACTTTCATCAGCCTGCTTGTCTTTTGTGCCATCGCCTGCTGCCACATCAAAGCTGCAGCGGTGTTCCTCTCAGCTGGAGACATGAATACATGCATAAATGTGTGTGTTTGTGTTTGTGTCTGCAAAAAGGTGCATGTGCATGCAAATATGTGTGGAAAGTGCAGACAGAGATTTTGTATCAGATTTAGCCTACACGACACATAAATTAGTTGTGTAGTCAACACTTTGCACAAACTGTGGGCCCAATTGATCGTGTGTGTGTGTGTGTGTGTGTGTGTGTGTGTGTGTGTGTGTGTGTGTGTGTGTGTGTGTGTGTGTACAAGTGCAGCATAGTACAGTGGTTGCAAATTATTTGGTACTCTCCCTCTAAACGGAGTGTATACTCAGGCTTGTGGTGTGCAGAGCTCTAGGGCATTTGTTTGTGTGTGCATGTGTGTGTGTGCATGCGCTTGTGCTATGATATATTGCTCATCCAAGTGGCGGCAGTACTGTGAAGTGTAGTGAGATTAGAAGGAACCCATTCCTTTGTTAATTTAAATGGGTTCATGCATCATGCTTTGCGGGAGCCTGCCGATCAGAGCATTAAGGAATGGCGAACACTGCCCAGAGGTGTTTTTAATGGCACAGCAGGGCTTCTGATGTAAAGAGGTTTAATTCCCTGCATTTAAATAAATTCCTGGTTGTGGACCCAGGCTTTATGATTTTTTGTGCATATTTGAGTAGTTCTTGTATTTTTGTTTATATCCTTGTTACATATATCATTGGATGTCACTGCTGTGTATATATCTTATAGGACTTCCACTTATTGGTCAACTTACTTTTGATCTTTTTGTTGTGGAAATCTTAAAAAAAGAGAGACCCAGGCCTGTCTTTGTGGCTTTTATTCAAATATAGCATTTGCTAATGGGCTCAGCACTTGTACAGAGATCAATGGTTCCCACAAAGTGCAGATACAGAAATACTCCTTTACCACAGTCAGGGGCAGTTCAGCTCTAACTGGAACAATCAGGTCAGTATTAACTACAAAGGGGTTAAAACAAGGTTACATGAGGGCACACATATGATCTAAATCTTTCCCATTACAATAATAAGACAGGTTACAATAACAATCACACTCAAAATTTCCACTACACTTTTCAGATAGCACCTCTTTTATCTGAGGTAAACATCCCTGCCTTGTGCACGTGCTGGTGTGTCGGGACGCAGTATGTTACATTTCAGCAAACAGTGTTACATATTGGAAGATAGGTATTGTAGTTAATCTATAGTTGTCACAGTGCTGTGTACCGCATTATACTTTCCTAGTACCATCATTTTATTCTTTTGAATTAATTTTTAACTTTTGTATGTATTTGTATCCCTATCTTTTTTTTATGAAACTTTTTTTATTTTTCTATTTTACTTTCTTGAGAACAAGAAACATACATTTCAACACTAGAAAGAGGAGAATGCAGAATCCAGTTCCTTTTCACATACAATTTCATACTTCAGCCTCTGCTGGAATTTACTGGCACTGAGATAAAGAAAGAGAATACCGATGTTAATTTAATACTGTTATTGCTATGCAGTGATCAACATTTTTTATCCAAGAATATCAAGGGTAAAAATAAATGTAAATATTTAGAGATTTTCCTACTGAGAGTGAAAGGTAGTGAAAGAAGCAGAGTGAGAAAAGGGAAATATATGGAGTAATGAGGTGAGGGGCATTAATAGAGGGTCAGTCTGGCACAGCTGTTTGACATGACATGGTTCATAGACTCTCCACTGACGACATGTAGCAAGCTTAACATAGAGACACACACACCTCTTACTGTTGTTCATTTTGGCAACAATTTTCAGATTTAGTCTTCATTCTGAAATAAAATGAGTTTTATTCACAAATGGTGAGCTTACCATTACCATAGGGCTGCTACGGTAACCATAATAACAACACCACAGATGTACCAAGTTATAATATATATGAAATATTGTATGAAATGAGGGTTCAGTGCCATTTATGTATGGACAGGAATTATTAGTCAAAGGTTTCAGTTTCTAACAAACAATTATTCCTAATAATTCCTAGTTTCTTGTAACTCCAGTGATTCAGTGTAATCTAATTAATATATAATTCTAGCTTTTTACTACTAAAGTAGAACTTGTTCTTCTCTTTTCAGAATTTTTTCATATAATTAAGTTTGCCATGTTTATTTTAAGAATGAGTCTAAGAATAACGTTATCAACAATTACAGATTGTATAGCTGTTACGAATTGCCATTTCATGTTTATCATGTCGTTTGGTTGATCCAACGAGACAAATGTTGTGTCACTTAGCAAGTGTTGTACTTAACTTGACTGCCATAACTATTCAGTGCTGCCACGAATAAAGAGGATAAAGAGTGCAGCATTGTGGCCTTGAGGTCAAACACTGAATACTTCTTTCAAGAAAGCTGAACCTCACTGAATCTAGGCTCCTTTTACACTCTTTGAACATATGTTGTATCAATAGGTACAAAAGACATATTGATTGCTAAATGTTGCAATTGATGTTATTCAACAAGCACGCCTTTGGAACCTTTTTATGTCTCCTTGTCGGTGATAACCATGGCTGGAGGCATTATGTCTTTGTGTTGTCGGTCCATCCGTCCCATTCTCATGAACGCACTGAGGGAATTTCTTCAAATTTGGCACAAACTTTACTTGAATGGATCAGATTTTGGCTGTCAAAGGTAAAAAGTCAAGGTCACTGTGACTTTGTGCCATTCCATTCTTCTGAACGTGACATCTCAAGAACGCCTTGAGATAACTTCCGTAAAGTTAGCAAAACTGTCTACTTGGACTTGGATTGGACTACCCCAAATCCTAGTTTAATCTCTGTTGATGTAAACCACCCTAACGTATTTTTTGTGTCAAGATTGAGCAGGTTATCATTATCGCAGATTAAAATGTTACTGTTCTGTTCTCCTTCACAGGATCCTCCAGTTCTTCCCGTCGACCAGTTCAGTGAAAAGTTTGTTCACTTCATCACACAGTGGTGAGTCAACTTTGATTCTCGAAAGACAGCAATGAAATTATTTAAATTAACACCTTCTGATTTTAGATGGAATTTTGTCTGTGTCCAGTGGCTCTTGACTGTGTAGTGCATTTGTTTGGGATTCTAGTTTGTACTAGCTTAATATGTTTGGCACAGTCAACCATCTGGGCCCTACAAAGCCAGCCTGAACAATTACAAAGACCACAAGATGCATGAAACATAGAATCATGAGCCAAATTATTGTAGATGAATCAAAGGTTTAATGGTATACAATGGGATTAAAGTGCATTTGCCTGTGTGTTGATGCATTATGGATGTAATGGTTTTAGCAAGGATATTCAGTGCTGCTGATATTCAATAAAAAGCTGCTCTTTTTTATGAGGAATGATTGAGTTATCTAATGCAACAGGACAAAGACAATGTTTACCTTGGGTCTGCCTCTGATTCATTAGCCTCTTGTAACCTTTACAGTTGCACAAACATTTACATACACACTCCACAAACCAAACCACATGCAGTAGGTCTGTGTGTATGTCACGAGCCGGCTATACCAGCTGTTGTTTAACCACCGTGTCTACTTTATTTATTCAAACGGGGCACCTCTCTCTCAGGACAGACTGAGGTGCAGGAGCCCTGCCCTGCCAGGGTGCACACCTAGCACTACGTTCTCCCAGGCTATTCTTAGAGGGTCATGGCCGATTCATTGCAATACATAAAACAGTTACATGACTTACTGCAGACAGGCCCTTACACTAATTCCTCAAAGTCCCAATGTAGGTCGTTTTGACAGACTGTGTATGTACACACTGTGGAGGACACTCACAGAAACACACACATAAATCCACTTAACCAATATTGTAACTGCTTCAGTTTTAGTGTTCTGAGAAATAAAAAATATTAATTGAACTTATAAATATTAATGTGTTTCTAAAACATGTTTATATGTGTTTATGAAAGTTTTGTCTTTGAAACCACTTTCTGTTTTTTTGTGGCATGAATGGTTTTGTGTCAGGCCTCCTCTTGAATAGTCACCCTGTTAAAATGAAAGTTAGAACAAAAACATGTCTTGCACTCTTACAAACACAGTTTGAATAGTGGCTGGATATAGACTGTTTGTGTCTCTTTTTTCAGTATGCGACGACAACCCAAAGAGAGGCCTGCCCCGAATAACCTCATGGTAAGTTAAACCAAGCCTCCATTAAACAGTTCCAAGGACCACAAAGTATAAGTTTTGAATAACTGTGTACAGAAGGTGATCATATCCCTGCATTCCAATAAAAATTCAATTAAACATAATTTTATTATCTCTTTAGCTTTGGGATTATACAGTTGTGTTTTTCGCAATGATTGAGGTGTTGTGGGTCAAGGACCCTCGAAGTTGGCATTGCTGTGTGGAAACAAAAGCAATGAACTTCTTCGTACCAATGAAAGATGTCAGAGAGAGGTCAGCCAGAAACCTTGAGGTAGGTTTAAGACCTACTTCAGCAATAATTCATTTAATTCACTGCACTGGAGCCAAACTGAATGAATAAGGCCTATCTGCTGTTCAAGAGTCAAATAATTCTAGTTTACAAAATTAAGTTTTATAGTCTAATGAAAATTTGAGCCAGGGACAAAGGGAAATTATTTTTAAGCGTGTATGTGCGTGCATGTATGTGTGTGCGTGTGTGCATGTAATGATCAGAGAGTGTTCCCATCACCATGTAGATTTATCATTTTAACATGTTACTGTACAGAACATAATTAAGGTCTAATTGTTGAAGTTTTGTATGTCATGACCTCATGTCTCATCTGCAAATTAGAGTTTGGGGTTTGATCATGGCTCTTTTGTTCTCTTTACACAACTACAATGGCACTCAGTAGAGCGCATACCTCACACATGTCTGTCAGATCCAGATTATCTGGATCTGCACCAAATTTCATGCAGTCATAGATGTCCACACCATGAATATGTCTGATTTGTTTTACATTACATACATTATTTCCTGAGAATTTGCCAGAAAAGTCCCTTATTGCACAATGTTACGGAAAGTGACAAAAAAAAATTCCAGATCTGCCCCTTTAACTGGATCTGCACCAAAATTAAATGCGTTCTGCCCTGGCCCATGCCCTATCCCTCCACCAAGTTCGGGCAAATTAGTTCAGTACTTTTTTCCCAATCCTGCTTAAAAACAAACAAACAAACAAACAAACAAATAAGACATGTGGGAAAACATAATCTCCTTTGCAGAGGTAAATATAATACTGTCAATCAATATTAACAGTAGATGAAAAACATTCAGAGACATTTCTTTCAGGTCCAAACTATCAGATCAGAGCACAAATAAATTAGATCTATTCACGCATAAGGTCAAGAGAGTCTGGAGGTCTAAGGTTTTTATTTTTTCATTGATAGCATTAGTACAGTAGGCCTAATAAAATGGCCTTATTAGAGATGCCACTAAAAATGTGCGCTAGTTGAACTTTTAGATTACCATACCATCATACCATCTCTAACTTAATATAGTAAATACAGGTGTGTGTGCTTTAGGCTGCTGTTTTTATGTCTCCACACTGGCAACATTAGGTTTTCACAATAATGAGATGTTAGTACCTTTTATTAAATTCCTTCAAAATTTTTACTACAAAATGTAAACTGCAACTTCACTGGTTAGCAGAGGCATACAACCACTTTTTTTAAAGCTTCTTGTCAGACATGGTTTATAACCTATAAAAAATACTTAATAATTAGAATTGTTGTCTGATATGGTTAATAAAATAAAAAATAAAACAGTTTTTATATTTTCAAAGGTTAAGAATTGCTCACAGAGAATAAAGCAGCTGTGATTTGGTGCTCTCTTGGTTGTAACAACCTCTGCAAATTGATTAATAGTCAAATACAAATTTGATTCTGTGACTCTGGTAGAGATGAGTTTCATAAATAAGGGAGTACACTTGTGCACTCTTCCTGACAGGACTTGCCAGACTTCCCTGCCAATGTGGACTTGATGATTTTTTACCATTTTTGTTCTGGTGTTAGCACACTAGGCCACAGCAATTTGCACAAACTGCCTTTTAAGAGTTGCAGCACACCGTGGTTTCTGTGTCAGTACCAAGGACAGCGACGGCTGGGTCCACAGAGAGAAGAGGGCTGAGGGTTTGTGTTGTGGGGGTAGAGGGCTGGAGGGTGTAAATGCAGAGCTGCTAACAGATTGTATGTTCTCAGTCTCACACCAGAAAGGAGTAAAGGGAAATATTGTGGAGACACTCATTGGGAATTCCTGCCCCCAGACAAAAGTGCCTCTCTTCAGGGGGAGACCTTGTACTACCACTTTTGAGGAAGTTGAGCTTGTTTTTGCGGCATGCTGCTCAGTTTTTTGTGACTTGTTGACCTTTATTTGAATGTAACTTCCATTGTTGATGTTGATTGTGATGAGTGACACCTTTGTCTCCAGTCACGCTTGTGTGTCTGTCTATATCATTTTTGTAGTGGAACGGGTGTTTTTTTCAATTTGACTGAAAAATCAGTCATCCTCTTTTGTCTTACTCTGGCTGAAAGGCCAACTTATTTCACAATTGCTTATGTACTCATATCTTGAACAAGAATATAATCACTCTTGAAGAGACTGAATTGTGAGCTCTTTTTCACAGTGTGCTCTCGTAGTTTCTTGTGTCCTTCAATACTTGGTTTCACAACCGAAGCTTAATTCAAACACAAAATAATTCAAGGACAAGGATTACTCCAAGCATCCATTACCAGTACTTCACAAACAATATTAGACTTCCGTCAAAGAATAGTCAATTTATCCTCCAGTATATGAATACAATTAATCCAGGACCCCCAGGTACCCCAGTAATCCATTGCTTCTTGGCTACACTGCAATATTGTAATTCTGTAATATAAATATATTCATTTCTTTAATGCCAGTGAAACAAACCAAAATGTCCTTCACAGTTTGACATTACGAACTATCAAGAAGAATGGACAAGAAAGAAAGGACAATTTATAACCCAAAGCAATGACAATGTGGTGCAACACATATCATGTCTTTGTGAATAGGCTTCAAACTGAGACAAAAAAAATGTAAACATTTCCAACCTCTCCATTTGGTCACCCTCTTAAACGGATAAGTGTGTCAGTAGGGTAACAACAAAAGTTTGTTTGAATTCACAAATTTATAAAGATGTGTTAGTGGACTGGAGCTGTTGACTGAGTGAATAAAAATAGACTGTAAGAACCACTTTAGCTCCTGGTCTGTATCACCTGAAAGAACTTGCCCTGTGGAGTTTTTTGACCACAAGTAACATTAAGCAGCAACGTTTTTAAGAGTAGGTCCTAGCTTGCAGGACACACAGGAGTTTAAAATGCTTTAAAAATCTGCTTTGTAATTGTTTTTCGAAGAAGGAAATATAGATCTCAACAATGCAAACAGTGTATTTTGGGCAGTAAGACTGAACCTAAACTGAAAATCTGTTTAGAAGAAAACTCTTTATTGTTTATTGACTTTTTATGGCATACAGGTAATAACAATCAAAAACAAAGTATGAGCTTGATGTGGCAACTGAGCATAGGTTAGATTCGAAACTTGAGCCTCAAAGCACATCAGAACCCCCAAGAACGAGGTCTAACATCGATTGTCTAGACTCCACAGTGCAGAGCAGCTGAAACAGCTGGTAAAGCGAATGGCTCTGTCTTCAGTGATGCGTGTGTGCAACATCCAGTACACAATCCACCTTTGACAACAAGAAGGCATATTTGTTGCTTAATTGAACAAGATGTTTTTTCTTTACAAATTTCTCCACCCACAAGGTCTCAACATGTGAACTCTGGGTTTCTTGCTGTTTCGTCTTTAGGATTTGGGATTGGGATTTGTTTGGAAGCATCAGTGCTACCATAATTTGGCTATTTCAACACTATACGTAGCATTGTTTTTCAACCACACACTGCTTTTCCTTCTTTCTGGTTTTTAAATGCTTCGGGTAATCATAGCTCACATGTGTGGCTGTGATTGCTTACTCTATTCCACATTCCTGCTCTGCCCCACTTTTTCATATTCATTGTGATCTCTACTGTGCTGTTTTTCAAATTTTCACAGTTCAGTCTTTTTTCAACTCCCTCTTTTTCACAACCCTCTCGTCTTTCCCTTACCTATATTTTTGTCCTCCTGTAGGCCTTTCATTTCTTCCTCTGCCCGTGATGAACTGAGATATAAGGTCATGGATGCCTGCCTTTGTGGCACCAGCCTGCTGATTGTCTTTCTCTCTCCTCCTCCTCATTCCCTCTTTCCCTCTTTCCTCCCCACCTCTCTCTCCACTTCCCCATTCCCCCAGCCTCCTGAGTACATTAAAACTCTTTACCTATTCTATCTGTATGTTAATGCACCTAGCCACAGCTCCCCCTTTTCTCCTCTCCCTCTGCTGTACAGAAAGTGCTACCATTTGCTCTCAGTTTTTATCTGTGCAACCACACAATAGTGTAGACACTGAGAAAATAATGTTATTTTATGACCATACAAACTCACCTAGTAGCGAGTTTGCTCATCAGGTTTCAGCATGTGGTTTCTCTAATCACTGGTATAGTTTTTATTGACGTCATTATTGTCACTGGGATTTTATCCTATTAGACGCTCTTTAAAGGGCTGCTGTTTGATTGCGTGCCTGCTCTCGATGGGTTCTGTCCCTGAAGCTTGACGCAGTCTGTTACAAGTACTTATACTGAATGCTTTGCTCAAACCATCAATCCTATTCACTTCAACTTTGTTATTATTTTACCCGATTAAGGCACACAGGGAAAGGAAAACCTTTTTCTTGTGCTCATGCTATGTTGCCAGCTTGAATTCAAGGAGAGAACAGGCACAGTGCAAAGAAAAACAAGCAGATCAAAGGAAAATAGTGGTAACAAAACAGCAAATTTAATGATAACAGAAGAAGCTTGATTTATTGACAATTAATGATTTTATGCTGCCTTACAGCAGGAGGTTTTAAATGTTAATCCAAAAGTATGTTCATTTGCACTTTGCCACCATGAAAGATTTTATTTTGTATACAGCTTCTTTAGTCTCCTACAGTCGGGTTATCCTACCTTGAAGTCTTCTTCTTCATTGCCTTTGGTGGCACACTTTTCCTTTCATGTCAAACAGTGGAATAGCTTGAAACCAGCTGCAGGAAAGTGTGTGTTCACACGCGTGTTGCACAATA